AACATTCATTATTAGATCGTCCAGATCTACCCAGGTGGTATATAATCCCCAATATCCCCCGGCTTTCCCTCGTTGTTCTGCAAAAGTGGAGCCGTATACGGTGAAGGGAACGGGCCAATTAGCGAATTCAGGGCGGGAAAAAAAGAATCCCAGCAAAGCGTAGACTCATCCTCAACACATCTCTCAGCAATTGAAACATTACCTTCGGTGCGCAATGGCTCTTGCTGCTCGATGTGGGCAGGCGGCCGCCCTGCTGCGCCAGCGCTGCATTGCTGAAACCCGCCCGGCACTCTCTCTTCGCGCATTCTCAACTCAGTCCGTCCGTTCGACGGCCTCGACTCTACGCCTGCAGAAGATCCCCACGGCTCGGTCCCAGCAGCTCCGTTCTTTCTCCAGCACCTTGAACCGCCTGGCTGCTGATAAGCCCCCGGCCGCTGAGTCTTACCTCGCTAGCGGTGCGGTGTCGACCGGTAGCAACCTCGTCGATGTCAAGAAGGTCCTCGTCATTGGTAGTGGTGGTCTGAGCATTGGACAAGCTGGAGAATTCGATTACTCCGGTAAGTTGGAACCACTTGGAGATGAAATTTCCCTGCCTATTAAATCGCCCCTGTCAGTCTCCCACGGGGTCTGCACGGGAAGCTTTTCTGCGGGGAATACAGAGAGAGCTTGAAGATGACCCCTAAAAATCAATTCAAATGACAAGCAACTAATCTTTTGACCGCCGGATCAAATAGGTTCTCAAGCTCTTAAGGCTCTCAAGGAAGCCGGTGTCCACTCAATCCTGATCAACCCCAACATTGCGACCATCCAGACCGACCACAAGCTTGCGGACGAAGTCTACTACCTTCCCGTCACCCCCGAATATGTTACCCACGTCATTGAGCGCGAGCGCCCTGATGGTATTCTCCTTACCTTCGGTGGTCAAACCGCCCTGAACCTGGGTGTGCAGATGAACCGCATGGGTACCTTTGAACGCTACGGTGTCAAGGTTCTCGGCACCCCCATCAAGACCCTGGAGACCAGTGAGGACCGTGACCTCTTCGCCCAGGCCTTGAACGAGATTGATATTCCTATTGCCGAATCGACCGCAGTCGAGACTGTCGAGGACGCTCTCAAGGCTGCCGAGGAGGTTGGCTACCCCATCATTGTCCGGTCTGCTTACGCCCTCGGTGGTCTGGGTTCTGGCTTCGCTTCTAACCCCGATGAGCTCCGTGACTTGTCCTCGCGCTCTCTGTCTCTCTCTCCCCAGATTTTGGTCGAGAAGTCCCTCAAGGGCTGGAAGGAGGTTGAGTATGAGGTTGTCCGTGACGCTGCCAACAACTGTATTACCGTTTGCAACATGGAGAACTTCGACCCTCTCGGAATTCACACCGGTGACAGTATCGTTGTTGCCCCTAGTCAGACTCTGTCTGATGAGGAGTACCACATGCTCCGCACTGCTGCCATCAAGATTGTCCGTCACTTGGGCGTCGTTGGCGAGTGCAATGTCCAGTACGCTCTGCAGCCCGATGGACTCGACTACCGTGTCATTGAGGTCAACGCTCGTCTTTCGCGTTCGTCCGCTCTGGCTTCCAAGGCCACCGGTTACCCGCTTGCTTACACCGCGGCTAAGATTGGCCTGGGACACACTCTCCCCGAGCTCCCTAACGCCGTTACCAAGACCACCACCGCCAACTTCGAGCCCAGTCTGGACTACGTTGTCACCAAGATTCCCCGTTGGGATTTGAGCAAGTTCCAGCACGTCAACCGCGACATTGGCTCCGCCATGAAGTCGGTTGGTGAGGTTATGGCTATTGGTCGTACCTGGGAGGAGTCCCTGCAGAAGGCCATCCGTCAGGTTGACCCTCAATACCTTGGTCTCCAGGGTGATAAGTTCGACGACCTCGATGAGACTCTCCGCAACCCCACTGATCGCCGCTGGTTGGCTGTTGGACAGGCTATGCTCCACGAGAACTACTCGGTTGACAAGGTTCACGACCTGACCAAGATCGACAAGTGGTTCTTGTACAAGATCCAGAATATTGTGGATTGCAACAACGAGCTCAAGGAGATCGGTAGCCTCTTCGGCCTCAAGCAGGAGATCCTGATGAAGGCTAAGAAGCTCGGTTTCTCTGATAAGCAGATCTCTCTCCTTGTTGGATCCACCGAGGATGATGTCCGTGCCCGCCGTAAGTCCTTCGGCATCACCCCTTGGGTTAAGAAGATCGATACTCTTGCTGCCGAGTTCCCTGCCGACACCAACTACCTCTACACCACCTACAACGCTTCCTCCCACGATGTTACCTTCGATGACCACGGAACTATCATTCTGGGCAGCGGTGTGTACCGTATTGGTAGCTCCGTTGAGTTCGATTGGTGCGCTGTTAATGCCACTCTCTCCCTCCGCGAGATGGGCAAGAAGACCGTTATGATCAACTACAACCCCGAGACCTACTCCACTGACTTCGATACCGCTGACAAGCTGTACTTCGAGGAGCTCAGCTACGAGCGTGTCATGGATATCTACGAGCTCGAGGCCGCTAGCGGTGTCGTTGTCTCTGTCGGTGGTCAGCTGCCTCAGAACATTGCCCTCCGTCTGCAAGAGAGCGGTGGTGCTACTATTCTGGGTACCAACCCATTGGACATTGATAAGGCCGAGGACCGTCACAAGTTCTCCTCCATCCTCGACAGCATTGGTGTCGACCAGCCCGCCTGGAAGGAACTGACCTCTGTCGCTGAGGCCGAGACCTTCGCCGACACTGTTGGTTACCCCGTCCTGGTTCGTCCCAGTTACGTCCTGTCTGGTGCCGCCATGAACGTCATCTACAGTGTCGATGAGCTCAAGGAGAAGCTCCTGAACGCCGCTGCCGTTTCCCCTGACCACCCCGTCGTCATTACCAAGTTCATCGAGGGTGCCGAGGAGATCGATGTGGATGCCGTTGCTTCCAACGGTAAGCTAATTGTCCACGCCGTCTCCGAGCACGTCGAGCCCGCTGGTGTTCACTCCGGTGATGCCACCCTCGTCCTGCCCCCTGCCAACCTCGAGGAGCCCATCATGGCCCGCGTCAAGGAGATCGCCGAGAAGGTCGCCAAGGCCTGGAACATTACTGGTCCCTTCAACATGCAGATCATCAAGGCCGACCAGGAGGGTGCCGAGCCCGCTCTCAAGGTCATTGAGTGCAACCTGCGCGCCTCCCGCTCCTTCCCCTTTGTCAGCAAGGTCCTGGGTACCAACTTCATCGACGTCGCCACCAAGGCTCTCGTCGGCCGTGATGTCCCCGAGCCCGTCGACCTCATGAAGGTGAAGCGTGACTACCTCGCCACCAAGGTTCCCCAGTTCTCCTGGACCCGTCTGGCTGGTGCTGACCCCTTCCTGGGCGTCGAGATGTCCTCCACCGGTGAGATTGCTTGCTTCGGTAAGGATCTGATTGAGGCCTACTGGTCTTCGCTCCAGTCCACCATGAACTTCCGCGTGCCTGAGCCCGGTGAGGGTATCTTGCTCGGCGGTGATATCACCCAGCCCTACCTGACCACCGTTGTCGATTACCTGAACCCTCTTGGCTACAAGTTCTTCGCCGTCAACCCCACTGTCAAGGATCACCTCGAGTCCACCGCCAAGGACAACGTCTCCGTGCAGCTGATTGAGTTCCCTAAGAAGGACAAGCGTGCTCTCCGTGAGGTGTTCCAGAAGTACGACATCCGTGGCTGCTTCAACCTTGCCAAGACCCGTGGCAAGACCCAGCTTGATGAAGACTATGTCATGCGTCGCAACGCTGTCGATTTCAGCGTGCCTCTCTTCATGGAGCCTAAGGTATGTTTAAAGTGCTGATACCCATAATGATTCAAGTTACTAACTAATCTTCTCTACAGACTGCCCAGCTCTTTGCTCAGTGCATGAACCAGAAGCTGCCTCGCGCCGAGGGAATCCCCTCCGAGGTCCGCACCTGGTCCAACTTCGTCGGCGGCAAGGCACTGTAAATCTCTATCTTTTTGCACAAAGTGACAGAAGAAGAGAAAAAAAAAAGCCCCACCATGTCGAGATGAAGAGAGACAGGAAGTCAACATCTCTCTTTTCCCCCTCGATATCCCCTATGGCCTCCCCAGGTCCTCCCGTCGTGATTTTCCAATATGGGACAGGATCTAAACTTCCTGTACGGTGTAGTGGGTAGGGCAATCTTGTTGATAGATGGCGTGCATTGTCTTTTCGGCCTTTTTAATTATTGTACTCTCGGATTGGAATGTTGTCTTTTCCTTATGAATCGTTGAATTGTTCCTGATCTCTACTCTCTACTCTACGGCAAATCAAGGTCGGATATAGTGGCGTAGTGCTCATATGCCCCTGATCTTATGCCCGATCTTATGCGAATTTGACCTTTAAGATCCCCTCTCCTCCGTACTCCGTACTTGTGCACATATTCAGGGTCCATACTCCGTACTCCGTACTCCATACTATTATTATTTATTTCTAGGGGCTCAGCCACAATCTCCGTCGTTAGGGCTATGAGGGGCTTGAGCCTCCTGTGGGGGCCAATTAGAAGAACATCGATGTCTCAGTTGGAAGGATTTCCCTCGTGACAGCAATTTTTGCCGACCCTTGTGACCAATAATCATAATTGGTGGCTTCTCTCGTCCTCTATTTATTTTCGTTACCTTCAACTTCTTCGCCTTGAACCTAGATAGCTTACCAGGTAGATCTTGACCGATGCTAACAGGTCATAAATCTGGGCCCCCAAGGTCTACACCAACTTGCCTTTGGTTTTTCATTACTGCCCCCTCAACCAAATTACCTGTCAGCGCTACGCTCAATCTTTTAGTACATTCTAGTATAGCGCTAGTATACAACCGATGCTTGGCCTCCGGGCCACCGTGACTCTTGTCGTGGAGCCCATTGGGCACGCTAGTCATGAGGCAACATAACAGTCTTGCTGATTTTTTTCTGCTTCCTGACTTCTTTTCTTCTACCCAACCCCAAGTCTCTGTTTCTACGACCTTGAAATTCCTCGCCTTCGAATCTTGCAAACATGCGCGCATCTTGGTTCCTCATTTCTACTCTAGCGGCTCTGGCCACAGCTGATGAGCCTGGCACAACAACCATCAGCTATTTCGGAGTCGACAATAATAACGGCGTCAATATCGGCGCCTACTCCAGCACCGCAGCCCGAGTTGTTGGCGTCGACAAGCACGCCACGACTTATGAGATCGCCTGCTTGAAAGGCGCGTCCAAGTGCGCATTGAACCATCCCGCAACCATGATCCAGGGCGATACCACTTTCAGCATCTCCATGGAAATAACTGTGGTTACCAGCGGTGGTACAGCCCACGCAACCGCCATCGAGTCATGCAGTTTCACCCGCGTTTCTGAATCTGCTGTCTGCACGTTCGGTTTCGATTACAGTGTCTCCCTGGATGGTCAAACCATTTCAACGTCCACCTCTAGCACACAATCCATCCCGTCGCATTCGGTTACTTATCACGCTCTTACTATCACCGATGGCGTCTACGCTCTCAAGGCTGATGCGACGGGTTCGGCTTCGCCGGTGAAGGTCACTCCGACTGCTTCTACTGGTGGTGCTGCGGCTGCTGCCAAGCCTTTGATTACTGCTGCGCCGTTGGGTGCTGCTGCTGCTTTGGCTGCTTTTGCGGCTATGCTCTAAGTCATGAGTTTGGTCCTTTTCATGTCTGATATTTGGCTGGTTGGGACTTGAGTATCTGGGTCTATGCACTTTGAATGAGCTATGCTATATGTACACTTAATAATTTACCCAAATGATATCCCGAATCTGATTTCTTTTGGATACAAATCTTTGAATTTTGACCAAGGATGGGATTTCTGGGCTCTTAATGTAGGATACTGGTCACTAAGGTGACAATAATAAAATGCTTGACGAGTAGCTCTTAATTAGTGCGTATTCGAGCCACGAGAGAATTTTCAGGATCTTTCTTATGAGACGTCTACCTACCGCCTTGGGCTATAGAGTTGAGCGCTAGCGGCGCCCTATAGTGGCGTAGGTAGCGGCTGCCTTCTCGATTTTATATTTAGTGTTTGTTTAATATTTTCGTCTTAATGTAACAAACTGGCTAACTCTCTAATCCTTTTCTTCATACTACGGGGCCGGCCTGGAGGATAGGGCCTTTCTACTAGTAGTCCTATATAAATGCCAAGAGATTCAAATACAATGACGAACATTCACCGCCCTGCCCACGTGGACGACTACCCACTCTGATCGTTATATCTTCATTTAATTCTTATTCCTATATTCAGATCACCCACAATGGCATCAAGAACTGCACTACCTTCGGTGACGACTAGGACGGTCCCGCAGCCTGCCCCCAATGGCCTGGGCAACGGCCTGTTTGCGACAACCGACATCAACCCCGGTGAGGATGTTTTACACATCAAAACACCATTTGTGGCGGTTCTTGATTCTCCACGTTTAGAAGACACATGTGCTGGTTGCTTCGGAAAGAGACAGATGGAAACTGGAAATGAGTTGAAGGCTTGCACGGGATGTCATGTCGTGAAGTATTGTGATCGGGTGAGTTGCTATGGATAGATCGTTTGCTATCTCATATTTCTCGTCCTACCAAACATTATGTCTGCTTTGATCTTCTAATACTTTTACTAGGCGTGTCAATCTAAGGATTGGAAGTTTGCGCATTCCCTTGAATGCCCCATCTTCAAAAAGGTTAAACCTATGGTGCTTCCCAACAATGCCCGTGCTCTCCTACGCATAGTGCTGCGCACTGCGCGTAACAAATACGATTCTGAAGAGTCCAAGGTTTTTGATGACTTAGAGACTCACATCAATGAGATCTCGGAGAGCCAGGGCCAGCTTGATAGGATTAACCTGACGGCAAGAGCTGTCAAGAATTACTCAGGAACGGATGTGGATGAAGGAACTGTCGCTTCTTATGCTGCCAAGGTAATTATTTTCAGCCTTACACCTCTTACACCGCGGAATTTTCATCTAACTATCATTTATAGCTGGATCTCAACTCCTTCAACCTCACCACCTCCATGTATGACCGCATTGGTCTCTACATGCATCCATATGCCGGGTTGATTAACCACAGCTGCGAGTACAACTCCACCGTTGGGTTTGACGGTGAAGAACTGTACGTCAAGGCTATGCGTCCCATCAAAAAGGGCGAGCAAATCTTCATTTCCTATATCGACACCACTACACCATACGACATCCGTCGCAACGAACTGAAAGAACGCTACTTCTTCGACTGTCAGTGCACAAAGTGCCAGATGGGGGCGGAAACCCTTGAAGACCGGTTCTTGTCTACACCTGAAGACATGGCGCCCCTAGATACAGCAGAGCGTGAAGCCCTAGAACTCATGCAGAAAGCAACTGCAACCAGCACGGAGCCAGCAGACGCAATCGAGAAGTTGGAAGCTGCTATGCACAAGCTGCATGAAACAGCCCTCTGGCCTCTCACCCGTCAACCATATGCTTCTCTCCGCGACAAGCTGATCATATCTCTTCTAACGGCTGGTAACTTTACCCGGGCATTCATCCACGCTGCCATTCGATACCTGCGCATTGATCCTGTTGTCTATGACAAAGCCCATCCCATCCGACATATCCATGCATGGAGCCTGGTCAGGCTTACTGTCTTCATTTCCCAGGAGGGCTTCCAGCCTAACCCCAAAGACCCTGTCCAGATCAATGACTTCAAGTTGAACTTTCACTACTTGATTTGGTACATTCTGGCTGAACTTACTAGTACTCAGGCGGAGAGCTGCACCGTGCCCAGCTTTAAGAAGCTTGTTGGAAATCAGTTTGTACAGGTTCACAATGAGTTCAAGGCCAATGGCCTTGATCCTAGCAAGACAAAGGCTGTTCTCTCTGCTGAGTGGAACAAGCTTGAACGTCTTGTCAATAAAGCTCTAGAGAAAGAGTGAAGTGCCCTAGGTCCGATTGTTTATCTAACTCAAAATTTGATCAAAGTCTAACATGGCCAGCCTTACTGGAACAGACCAAGCACCTTATATAACAAAAGTAGTGTTCACCTACTTAATATTCCCCTGCCTCTTATGCCCGAGATAGCAGGAACGATCCAGGGTCCGTGCCGGTTGTATACATAGCCGCCATTTCACCTTTGCTGCCGGTCGACCCTTCCTCTTCGGGCTGGCTAGGGACTATATACACAATCCTCAACCCTTTACTTTTCTCTTCTTCTTCTCTCTCTCTCTCTTCTCCCCTCACATTTACATTCATTTTTCACTACAAAGCCAATTCGACGCCGCAAACGATTGCCAAAATGAATGCCTTCGAAATGGCTGCCATGGACCGCTGGTCCATGGAGAATGCACCTCCGACCCCCCAAGTTACCGATGAGGTTTGTGCCGCCCCCGAGACCATTAGCTCCCCCCACTACGGGGCCAGCCGTCGGGCTGCGTCCCCCCGGTTTGCCGACCTCAGGACTCCGGTGATTCCCCCTGGTTACCAGCAGATTCCAGGGTACGAAACCCACCGTCAGCGGCAGGAGGCTCGTGCACTCATGGGCTCGATTGCGGAGCGCCGGGGTAGACCTACCCCCGCTCCAATCTTGATCCGTGATGATGCGCCTAGTCTTCTGTCGCACGGACGACGTTGGTAAGTCAATTCCATTTCATTCTTACTTCTTTTAGCCTTTCTTGTCTTGACTTCAGTTTGATCTCGGTTTATTCTCATTTCTTTCTTGCTTCACATGTTCTATCCGAGATGAAATTTGTTCTACTTCGTTTGGATTGGACTCAGCTGACTTTTGATTCTGATAGGGTCCCTGGGTGCCGCTTGTGCTGTTGCCTTTGCCGGAGCCAGAGCTCAGCAGCTAGCCAATGAGCGAACTTGGACTATGTCTGGGTGAGCCCTCTGCTGGTGATTTTGGCGATGATGGTAAGGGGGGTTTCTGTAGTGTGAGGGTTGGTTCTCGAGGGGCTGGCTGCCCGTTGGTGAGACTTATCTCTCTCTTATTTAGTCTTCAGTTCTGAAAGCTAATACTTTGACATACAGGAATGGTTGTGTTAAGTTCTGCTCCCCGGATTTGACCACCGGGTACGAGCTCGCCCCTGTCCCACACCACCCGACGCAGGTCCCAAGCCAATTCACGCCTGGTCGATCACCATCGTATACAGCTCGACCAGCCTGCAGACACTCGTATGCCTAACCGTTTCTTGAAAAGGATGGGTAAGGCAACCGGCATTATATAATATATCTCCACGCAGGACTTTCGGCGTGGGGCGACCCGAGAAGTCGCCCATCTACCAATTGACAAATTGGTGATAAATAGTGAAGGTGTGACGGCATCGGTCCGAACAGCTGCGCCGAATGCAACCACCAGTCTGAAGCGCGAGCAATCGGCCGCCGGCCCAAGCAAATCAATCACCAGCCTAAATGAAGCACCCTCTAGGCTGAGCGAATTGACTACCGGCGTGAAGGAATCGACCTCTGGTCTGAACAACTCGACCACCGGCGCGAACAAACCGCCCTCCAGTCTAATCGAGCTTGAGCCGGCGGAAATCCCGTGGACCTCGAGCAAGACATTCCAACGTTGCAAGCCTTCTGCCGACTCACATGCCTAGACGCCGCAACTATCCACCCAACGCTAATGGCCGCAGCAAACCGTCTAGAGTCACTAGCAGCGGCCTGTAAATATAACGCTAGAGCCACGACCTTTTTGCGACAAGTCGGTGAACATGGTATGACGGAGTCGCAAGCAGCCACGCTCTTCACGAGAACATCGGAAGAGACTTTACCATCATTTATGAATCTTACGCTGTCGTTAATTCAATGCCCCGCAGACGCGGCGGCTACCCGAGACGCCCTCCGCTTCGCGGCTGCTATGAAGGCCTTCACCGCCGCTCTTGACGAAGAGCCGCAGCAGAATATACTAGCCGTCTAAACATTTGAGCATCTACGCGATGACTGGGCCACCCTCCTGCCAGACCGCGACGCTGACGGCCCCCCCGAGTTCCAAGCCACCGACAAGCCAGTAGCGAACGATAAGGCGAATTAACATCATCACCAACCCCGTCTCATGGCTTTTGATTGCTTTTGATTGCTTTTCATTGCCGGCCAGGGGCGGCGGTCTCTTCGGCGACAAGAGCACAGTTGCACGAGAGCCCAGACAGTCTACCTGGCAAGAGTGTGCAGGCAAAGACTTGGGGGATGAGCCGTTCCCCCAGACTAAACTTCTACATACTCCCCTACTTGTTGCGAGTTCATGGGGTCGACTATGGTAGTGAACATATCATTGCCGAGAAGATGAGAGAAAACGACTGGGAGTTAGATGATTTGGAGTTGGACGAAATGGATACGGACTCAGACGATGAATGATGTGCACCTGCGGAACAAAGGTCATTCCAATCAGTAGCACCTTTTGGCCACAACCTGGTGTCGACTGTCTTCCTTCTCTTCGTTTACCCTCGGGGGTCACAGCATTTTCCGCCCTTTCGTTTTTCTCATTCTCTTACTATCCCGATAATTCTGCTTGCCTTTCTTTACCCAATATTCTCCTCCCTCTTTCTTTTCCATCTGCCGGTTTCTGTTCTTCGTCTTCAATTTGATGGAAAATGAATTCTGGCATGCATACAAAAAGAAAACAACAAAAACATATGTTATGAATTGAAGGAATATGCATGGAAAACCACTTTGAAAACCTACAAAATTAGGCAGTTGCAATCATCGTGACAATGGTCGCAGGGGGTGTTTCAATTTCTCATGTGTTACATGATCATCCTATAGTAGTAGACTTTTACAGTCGTCGTCTCCTCCCTTCTTTCCAGTTCTACAATTGTCCAATACACACTGTACTGTTTCATTCTCATGATCTCTACTAGCTAGTAGTACATTCAAATAGGTTATGACCGTGGACCTATCTTTTCTTTTTGTTGGATAGATACGTCTCCTATCTCTACACGTATTTCATATGTCCCATCTATCCTGTTGTGGTTTTTGAATATAGAAATTGAGGCTGGTCTGTTATGGTGTACATTATATGTTCAATGTCCGTCAAACTTGGAAGGTGTGCTTTAATTCTTTATGAAAAACGGATAATCTACCAGGCAAAGTTTTATACATGCCGCAAGCGAGCCAAGATTGCCTAGATGAGCTTGGTCCCTTTCTCATCTGATCTCCCATCCGACAAACCTCAAGTGTATAATCTCATGTCCATTTACATATGTTGATAAATACAGGAATAGAAGGCAAATAATCAATAATCGAGCATACCGGGATGTTCATATATACAGTGTACAAAACTCAAGTCATAAAAAATATCACATCAGACTTGTTCGACCTCCAATCTCATTGGCTGCCTCGCCGTTAGGCATCTCACCATTTCGGCCAGCGATAAACTCACGGTAAATCCCCTGGAGACGTCTACGCTCTGCGGGAGGAAGAGAACCACGCGTGGTAGCCAATGAGCGCTCAACATGCCCCCAGCGGACTATGATATCCTCACGCAGCTCGTCCGTATCAGGCTCAGTGCCGTTAGCCACCGTGGCCGCGGCGTTGTTCGCACCAGAAGGTCCCTGCTCGAGCTGGCGCTGGCGGCGACGCGAGTTCTTGATTGCCTCCAGTTTGGCTGAGATCACTGCCGGGGCTGGCATGGAGACAGACCCAGATGCTTCCTCCGAAGAAGAGTAGAGGAACTGGATGAAGGATTTGCTAGAAGCATTGGCGGAATTGGACTTGGCATTGGGCTTGGCTGTATCCGTAGACCGATCACCCAGTGCGTCGTGAACTGCCTCTAGATGGGCGTTGTACACGACAGCCTGCAGATCTGCACCAGAGAATCCTTCGGTCTCTGTGGCAATATCACCTAGGCGAGACGTGACCTCGTCACTCATCTTGAGCTTGTCACTCACTGAGCGGATGATATCAACACGGTCTGCATGGTTGGGCATGCCACAAAGCAAGGACTTGTCGAGACGGCCAGGACGAAGGAGGGCAGGATCGATCAAGTCGGGTCGTGACGTTGCTGCCAGCACATAAACTCCCGAGAGGCCTTCTGCGCCGTCCATTTGTGTCAACAACTGGTTGACAACACGGTCCGTGACACCAGTGGAGTCGTGACCACGCTTGGGTGCGATACTGTCGAACTCATCGAAGAAGAGGACGCAAGGGCGAGCGGCTTGGGCTCTCTCGAACAAATCGCGAACACTCTTCTCACTGGCTCCGATGTATTTGTTCAAAATCTCGGGACCCTTGACACTGATGAAGTTCAATCCACACTCGCCAGCCACTGCACTCGCCAACATTGTCTTACCGCACCCAGGGAATCCATAGAGAAGTAAACCAGACCGCAGTCGCAATGGGCACTGTGCGAAGATTGGGGCATACTTTGTAGGATACTGCAAAGTTTCTAACAGCATCTTGCGAGTTTCGAACAAACCGCCAACAGAGGAAAATGTGGTTGTTGACGAGGTAAGAGTAACGTTGCGAAGAGACGCCGGAGTAAAGTCCTTCAAGGCACTTTCAAAGTCCTCTAACCCGAGAGTGATCATCTTTGATGTTGCTGTCAGATCTGAGACAGAGCGGATGAGGGCCTCATTGCGCGCACGAGCAACGAGCAGCACAAGATCACCGGGCATATACCCATCGGTTTTGCCGGCCAACTCTAGATACTCGACATCCTTTCCAATAATAAACCCATCACCCCCAGAGGAGCTTGGTCGGCTCCCCGGGTTTGAAGGGTCCAGCCATGAGTCTTGTGTTGAGGAGCTCGTGGCCCTCACATGCCCGTTTGAGCCTTCTGTAGGTTTATCTTCGCTAGTAAGTTTTTCCAAAACTCTTCGGCGTCCTTCCTTGTCAGGGGCTCTCATATTGATGATCTCACGGACGACATGGCCGCCGATGATAACATTATTGAGGGACTCTTTGGCCTGGGCAGTGGCCAGTAGCACAACAGAGGAGTTCAGCGCGCAGTATTCTCGAACCATAGCGCAGATAACCTCGCTGTTCTGGCGACTGCGGCCATTGTCTCCACCCACTTGCAATTCAGTTTCCGCTGGGCAAAGCTTGTCTAGATCTTCAAGGATCACAACTGACTGGCCACCAAGACGCGCACACCATGAAGCTGACATGAACAGGCGGTTCAGGGTCTCTTTGATGTTGGAAATACGTGTTTCATCTGTGACAAGCTTGCGGCAGGAGAAATACTTGACATTGAAGAGATGATCTCGTCTTAGGCGATGAGCCAGTAGATGGGTAAGAGCTGTTTTACCAGCACCAAGACCACCGGTAAGCAAGATAGACGAGGATTTTGTTAGGTTGTTCAATGACTGTTCAATGATAGAATCAATGCCCACCAATTGAGGAGCAGTTTCTGGAAGAGGGTCCTCCATAGGTAGCGCCGATGAACTAGGGTCAAATGGCTTGGGGATTTCAGCTTGCACTTCAAGATTCAGCTTAGCTTCAGAGCCCAGCAACCACCCGAACATTGTCTTTGTTTCATCCGGAGCCCCCTTCAAAGGTGGATCAAACCGAAGAATAGCACCATCGAACGAAGAGACTGAAGGATGATACTCGGATTTGGGTATAATCATCCCATCAGTCAAAGGCCCTGAGAACAGCCCTGTGTCAGACCCAGTGCTGCCGTAGATGACTTTGATGCGCTCGGCTAAGGCATCCCGAGATGCCGTAGTGTCAGCACCGAACTTCAGCCCGTCCTTCTTCTTTAAAGCATCGCCTATGAAAGGATAGACTTTGAGGGTCTTGACTGCCGAGCGATGCAGCTGCGGGGGTGCTGCTTCGACTCGGAGGATTCCTCCAACCATGTTCTCCGCACCAAGGGCCGTGCACAACAAGGTGGAAATCGCCACATGCCGATTGTCCGGAGCCTCCTCCCATGGAAACAATTTAGCCACGAGCTTGGTTGTAGGAGCACCAGAATCATTGGACTTTTGCTGTTCAGCTTGAGCAAGTTGTTGTTGGGGATCTAGTGGGGGTTTGAGACCGGATGGCTGGACAACGGACACGCATGCCCAAGTCGCTCCGCGCAGCTCATGGCTAGCCAGCAGGTCCGGATCAACCCAAATACGGAGGCCCTCATTTGCATCATCTTCTACTTCCCCATCGAAATATTGAGTGGTCGCTGAGCGGTCCACGCCTCTCAAGTAGATGGAGCCTCGCGTGCTGGAGTCAGACCGACCACTCTTCGGGCGTACAGTGCTTGAAGCGCTCCTGCCCCCAGCACTCTTCCTGCTGCTACCAGTAGCACTGCGGCTATCAGCCCGAGAGCTTTTACTTGTCTTCGATCGAACTTTGGGGGCCACTATGACCTCCGCATCCGGCGCGATCTTGGCGAAGGGGGAGGTGTCTGGGGGGGCGGGTGTAAGAGAAGTAACGACAATATTGGCGGTAGATGTGGGAGAGAGATGCAATGCGAGTGGGTGCATATGCACCGATTGCGCTGCATTGTATGTAGGATTGGGGAGAGCGCGAATTTGTGACAGGAGGTTAAGTTCTAGGAATGTGGCATGGAGTTCAATGACTGGTCATGTCGAGTTAGTGCCATTTCCATTATAGCTGCTTGTGGTTTTAACATACTCTCCCAGTCTTCTGGTGTCAATGGTTCAATGTTTATCGTATGCGCAACGGGTGGATCGAGGTGGATGAACAATCCAACCTGCAAGTGTTAGCGCTCCACGTGGGTAATGGCGCCCCGGGGGGGGGAGTATTGTACCTTCTGGCCTTCTGTGAGACCAAGGAGCCGCCCGAAAGTAGTATCAAGCTCAATGGTGGATATTTCCTGCTCCCTGGAATATCCACTGTTTATACCGTCTCTCCCAACGACAGGCGCAAGCCTGCGTTTGCTCGGCATACCCGTCCAACCGAGGAAGCATGATTGCTGCGGAGGAGCTCCATTGGCCTTTCCGGAGGTTGATTTATATTGTAGTTCGATAATAACATTCTGAGCAGTCTGATATAGCTAGACGTTAGCCGAAAATGCCCACTGAAACCGAACGATCAGTAGACTGACCGTGTTTGCATTGACCAGCAGAGCGACTAGCGACGGCGGTAGATTAACAAGACAGTTCTTGAGGGGGACGAGGGCGACTTCGGCCGTCGCAGCAGGCTTCTTAGGCGCCATTTTGAACCGCTGAACAATTGTGAACACCGGAAAGACAAGGATGAGGGGGAATCGTGAACTCGGAGAGACACAACCCCGGACTCCACACTGTATCTCTCTTTCGCCTCGGCCCGATGACGAGTCATGTGACGCCTACCTCATAGAGGATTAACTAATAATCCGCCATCATTGATACTTTTCCTAATTAGGTTAGTGCCATTCTTGAGCGCGTCCCGACCTCGCGTTCGCGTTTTACCTGCGAATTTGGTAGGGGCTCGGATAGACACTGGACGGACCCTCTTCTTTATTTCTCTCCCGATCCCACTATCGATTCTTTGCGCTTTCAATTGAGCGCACTTTGTTATCATGTCTCTTCTTCAATATCCCCCACCTGTGGATTATTCCGCGCAATTGAATGGCTTCAAGGATTTCTTGAAGGGGTTCAAAACCTTCCAATCCTCCTCGGAAGCCGCTGCGACCGAAGCGTTGGAGGATCTGAACATCGACGACGGCCAGACTAGTGATGAATATGATTTCATGGATGATGCCGATGAGACCAACGGGGCAAACACCCGAGGAGCAAGGAGGCACCGGGAGCCGAAGCTCAAGTACATGCAAATTCTGCAGGATATCGCAAACCGGGATAAATCTAATATCTTGATTGAGTTGGATGACCTGTCAATTGTAAGTATCCAATATGAGACCCTCTCACTAATTTCCAGCTCACAATGGTGGTAATAGTTCGAGAAATCCTTACCCGAGGGAGAAGACCTGAAGCTCGTCGAATCTATCGAAAAGAACACAAAGCGCTATATCGATGTTATCTCTCAGGCGGTCGATGATGTTATGCCTAGGGAGACAAAGGATGTCACGTACGTTAAATCTGTCTCTATGCGAATGCACAGGCGGCTAAACTAATTATTGTGCAGGTTTAAAGATGATGTGCTTGATGTGATCATGTCCCAGCGCGAGAAGCGAAATGAGACTATGGAGACTGCAATGGAGGCCGACATGGAAGCTGCTGCGACTGCCCCATCGATGTTCCCTCCCGAGCTCACCCGCAGATATACCCTCAACTTCAAGCCCCTCACACCTTCGGGGTCTAGCGCCGAGCGCGATTCCAAAGCCCTCGCCGTCCGTTATGTGCGCGGTGAGCACCTGGGTACCTTGATTACAGTCCGTGGTATCACCACCCGTGTCTCAGATGTCAAACCGGCTGTACAGATCAACGCCTACACCTGCGATCGCTGTGGTTGCGAAGTGTTCCAGCCCATCACCACCAAGCAATTCCTTCCCTTGACCGAGTGTCTATCGGAGGAATGCAAGAAGAACAACTCGAAGGGTCAGCTCTTCCTGTCAACTCGTGCATCGAAGTTTGTTCCCTTCCAGGAGGTGAAGATCCAGGAAATGGCCGACCAAGTCCCCGTGGGCCATATTCCTCGCACTTTGACTATTCACTGCCACGGCGCTCTGACTCGCCAACTGAACCCCGGTGACGTTATCGATGTGGCAGGCATCTTTTTGCCCACTCCCTACACTGGTTTCCGGGCTATTCGCGCTGGCCTGCTGACTGACACCTACTTGGAGGCTCAGCACATCACCCAGCACAAGAAGTCCTACAATGAGATGGGTATGGATAGCCGTACTCTCCGCAAAATTGAGCAGCACCAGCGTTCCGGTAATATGTATGAGTATCTTTCACGGTCGATTGCACCCGAGATCTACGGACACCTTGATGTCAAGAAGGCATTGCTATTGCTCCTGATTGGCGGTGTAACGAAAGAGATGGGCGACGGCATGCACATCCGCGGAGACATCAACATCTGCTTGATGGGTGACCCTGGTGTAGCCAAGTCCCAGCTTCTTCGATACATTACCAAGGTTGCTCCTCGTGGCGTGTACACCACCGGACGAGGAAGCAGTGGTGTCGGTCTCACCGCCGCAGTCATGAGAGATCCTGTCACAGACGAGATGGTGCTGGAGGGAGGTGCCCTTGTTCTTGCAGACAACGGTATCTGCTGTATTGATGAGTTCGACAAGATGGAGGACTCGGACCGGACAGCTATTCACGAAGTGATGGAACAGCAGACTATCTCCATCTCCAAGGCCGGTATCACAACTACCCTCAACGCCCGTACTTCCATTCTGGCAGCGGCCAACCCGCTATATGGTCGCTACAACCCTCGGGTGTCACCCGTGGAGAACATTAACCTGCCCGCCGCTTTGCTCTCTCGTTTCGATGTCATGTTCTTGCTTCTGGATACCCCGTCCCGCGAGGGCGACGAGGAGCTGGCCCACCACGTCACCTACGTCCACATGCACAACAAGCACCCGGAGAGTGAAGAAGCCGGCGTGTTGTTCACTCCCCACGAGGTCCGTCAGTACGTTGCCAAGGCACGCACATTCCGCCCTATTGTGCCTACCAACGTTTCTGACTACATGGTTGGTGCTTATGTGGCCATGCGCAAGAGACAAAAGATCGATGAGTCCAAGAAGAGGCAGTTCTCTCACGTCAGTCCCCGTACTTTGCTCGGTATCGTTCGTCTTTCTCAGGCACTTGCTCGTCTTCGCTTCAGTGAGGAGGTTGTTCGCGAGGATGTCGACGAGGCTCTACGTCTCATTGAGATCAGTAAGGCTTCTTTGTACAATGATGGCGAGCACGGCGCCGACAACACCCCATCCAGCAAGATCTACAACTTGATCCGCAGCATGAAGGAGAGTGGTGCAGCTGCTGTTGGAGATGGCGAGGAAGGCGAGATGAGCATGAGACGTATTCGTGAGCGTGTGCTGGCCCGAGGCTTCACCGAGGATAACCTCACCATGACTATCGATGAATATGCCGAGATGAACGTAAGTTTCGATAACTCCAAAAGCTTACTATGCTTTTTTACTGACAACACCCTCTATAGCTCTGGCAAGTCACAGGCAACGGCACACGTCTGCTCTTTACTGAAGTTGACGGCGATATGGACATGTAATTGTGGAAGTCTCCCATTCTGTTTTTCTCTTCTTAAATGTCGATCGGGCTTTTTATACGTGTTGAAGATGCATGTGAAACTGGCTGAAATTAAGGCGACGGGTGTTTGGGTGTATTCTTGGGGAAATGGAGTCGGTTCTTATGATTTCGTAGGGTCAATTAAGAAGATATTCCCAATCTACTTGTTTAAACTACTTTTACATCCTAATTCTCCACTAAAGCAATTTCAATTAAGGAGTGACACATGTACACATGCAATCCGCCAGAATATCTCGCGCTATGGATCCAACCCAATACTTGAGCCTATTGCACTACCGCCATACCTCGTTTGAAGTCCCCTCCCTTCTCTTCTCCCTGCTACTAGGAAACCCACTCCTACCCCCGGACCATTATTCTAAACCTTGCACTGGTATTGAAGCGGGACCTCATTGCAAAGATCGGAAGGAGCAGCATACATATCATCACACTGGGTGTTGCAAGCTGTGTACTCAGGAACGAAAACAAGGAACTCATAGTTCTCCATCGGCAGGCGGAACTGATGGTGCAAGTCATTGTTGTACTGAGACGACTTGAAGCCAGCACGGCAGGCGCAGTGGAAGGATGTGCCCGTGTTGATGCACGAGGTTGAGGGGTCACACCCGTTCTCGCCTGAGATAGGGTTGCAGGTGCCACACTGGGCCCATGGTGTTGGGTCAGCGGCGACCAATGAGGCAGTGGCGATGATCAAGGTGATGATGGAGAAATGCATCTTGATGGATGGTTGGAGTTGGGTATAGACTTGGAGTAGATCTGTTGGCTTGTGTCTGGGGATTGGTTTCTGATGGCGTTATCTTCTGCTGGGAGATTCGCCATCTTATATACTCGTCTCCAATGGTACATATGCTTATGTGAATCCTAGGCTCTTCGTTGCTCCTTTGTTGTGGAAGATGCCAATCACCCTGTTCCCTACACTGCATCACGAGGTCATTTTCAGCCTGGGTTTCCCAGTATAGGCTGGTCCACAAAGGAACGATACCCATATACGGTACGAAGTGGAAGAACAACAACCGGGGTTGAACTGTGAATACGAGCTGTGGAACAATACCTCAAACACCACCAATGCTTATCGTCCAAGGTGATGTCGATGGCTTCTTAGCTCAACATAACCTTTGAGCAGCACGCCTAAGACTGTTCAGGTTTTGGAATATCGATTCAGCGGAAGGCTTGGGGCGGGGTGCATGTCTCAGGGCCATCCCTTTAGCCACATTCAGTTCTCGACGTCAACGGCCGTATAGAAATGCGGAGATTTTGATTTGCCAAGGTAGGTGTCTCACACTGCTTGAAGCTTTATGATTACGAGCTGGGAATTCTTTGATCTCGTCAGCCTTATGCAAATGACTTCCTCTTCTGCGGGCTTTTGGAACATGGTGAAAGACAGGCAAAAACAAGCGAGACAGCGAAAGTTGGGCACTGGTTACTCGAGATTGAGGCAAGGGCCGTGATACGTTCTTTTTGGTTTCTATTTACTCTGCATGCCATCAAGGCGGGGGTCTAAGGCGCCCATTCAGAACGCGCTTTTTGCATTGTTGGACCAGCTCAAACCCAGTACTCCGAGTCTGGTTCTGATGTCGTCTTGTCAGACGACCCTTTATTGGCCGGTAATGTTATATTGTCACCTAATAGTCGGCAATCGGGACCGGCCTGAGGCCCGAGTCTCAAGCGTAGACACCGAAAGACGGGGTTTGACCATGCTGATCAATGGATTATTGAAAGCTGAGATTCACACACTATGAGCGGTTTCTTTCTCAGGTGGAATGCAACAAAAGATGCCCTATGCTACCATAACACCACGTACATAAGTCAGGGCAGTTGAGATTGCAATATCGGAGCCCGATTTTGAGTATGAGACGCAGGGTTCGAGAATCTTTTTCTTGGTAACTGTAGACACCGCTTGTGAGAACCATCATAAAAGTGGACGAGACATGTTTCATTGGTGTAAGTTTACGTGCAGCTAGGCTTAGATACAAGGAGATATGCTCCGGTGTATTCAACAGCTGCACTGTCTTTCTAGTACAAAGATGCATGGCCAGTAACATTTGACACGGTAGTCTAGAGGTGCGTCTTAGACCCATCTGGCTCTCCAATCAGTCTCAAAAACGCCCCGTGAACCTCATCGGTCAAATCACTGGCCTGCATGCTCCGCCCCTTTGCCGCAAAGGCTCGTCGCGAGCATTCTCGTGTGATGCTACTTCCCGCCCAAGCCGCCAATAGCAGAGTCGTTGTCGGGGACATGCGCTTGTTCTCAGAATCAAGCTCTGCCTGAACTTCTTCCTTACTCTGCGCCTCCTTCTCGTTGTCCTGCTCGCCAGAGTCCCACAATTTGTCATGGTAAGCCGCTCGCCAGGCAAGGAATGTGCCCAGTGATCCGGTCAGAGTGTCTCCTTGACCACCGCTGCGCTTCAAGCCACCCTTGCTATCAGAGATGATACTAGTAACCCCGTTGGAGATCACATCTTGAGGACCCTTTTGGAGAATCGTGACGCCTCCGAGAGCTTGAGATAGCTGCTCACACGCATCTGATGCTTTGCTGGGGGTGTCGCCATTTCCGCCTTGCGCGATCTCCACTTGGCTGGCGACGTTGACACCCAGCGCTTTGGCTAGACGGCCAAACTCTACCACATTTGGTGTGAGAATGCACTCCTTGTAGCCTTTGATCAGGCTCGGGTCTTGCGTCACAATCAGCAATCCATCTGCGTCTAGCACAAATGGGATCGATCGTGACCGCGCCTCTCTGATCACTTCTGCGACTACCTTTAGCGTCACGCCGTCGCGGCCGAGACCCGGTCCAATCACAAGTGCATGGAGGCGAGATAGCATCCCGATGATCGGACCGGCCAGTGAGGGTGCATCAATTGAATTGAAATCCTTAACAGTGTCGCTGCTTGGAAGCAATGGGTGTACCATCAAATTGGGAGAGTAGCCCTTGATAACCTATGCATTGAATGTTTAGAGTGGGTTCAATCTAGGCCGGAGGTTAGCTTACTGGTGCTGCGGATCGTTCACAAAGTACATGGCTCTGGTGATTGTTAGTCGTTTGAAGAAGGTGTGTCATATTTCACACATACCATATCACATCCTGCAAATTCGAGAGTCAATATATCTGGTAAAGAGCATGGGCCTGTTTAGGTGACGTACCAAGTTTTGCTGAGGCCATGGCTGAAAAGTATGGAGCTCCGGTGTAGCTTATGCCAGTTAGTAGAATACCAGTGTCAGCCAGGCAGAGGACCTACTCAACGCAGCCTCCAATAACAGCTACACGGCCAAGTTGTCCTGGACTAATGGTCAGCGGGGGATATTCATTGCGTGGTAGACGCATCGGTTACTCCAATCGACCTGATCATCAGACCTTTGTGGAACTTTTCAAGCATTGGAGGTACAATCTTGCGCGCCTTGCTGAAGAGGATCTTTGATGAGACCGAGACATGGTGAACGGACTCCATGGTAAATATGTGAAATTCTGAAATTGTGAGATTGTAGTAGAAAATAACTTTCAAGGTTATGCTGGAGGTGAACGCGGGTGATGTCACCCGCCAAGTGGGGCCTAGACAAGCTTGTTTGGAGTTGTGATATCAAGCTGATGACTTCAATATATAATGTTGCTACAATATACGGAAAGATAGTCCAAAAAAAAGAAAGTTGGTATTGAAATAGCGCTCGCTATTGATGGTGCTTCAAAGCAAAAAAAGATGAAGGCATCCCCGTCTATGGACACCCCGAACGCTCATAATGCGGAGTAAATATGTAGTCCTATCCAAAACAAAAGAGATCGTGGAAAGTGGTCAGAAGTGAAAAAGTAAAAATTTCACAGTATAAAAACGTCCAAACTTCAACGCTTGCTCCTAGAAGCAAGAGCAGCCAATTTCCGCTGGCGCTCCAGCTTCTCTTTCTTAGCCGCCATTTCTTGACGCAGCTCTTTCTCGTCCTCCCGTTTGGCAAATTCCAATGCAGCAGCCTCTTCGCGGTCAACATCGTCCATTCCAGCCTCCATGTCGGATGATGCATCGGAGTAGTAATCGTCATAGCCACCGAGGTCACCCTCATCTTCTTCGTCAGTTCCGAGATATTCGTTCTGTCGGGAATTTCGAGACTGGTGTCGACGATCACTTCCACCACGGTTTGATGGCAGGCCCGCAGTTCCACGGTAGGTAGGCGGCTCGGGAGTCTGCGTCGGTTTGGCTGTGCCCTTGTATGAGGGCCTCTCGGAATCGCGCTGCCGGACAGCAGGCTTGCCCTTGGCAGAAGCACCCGATCCAGCCTTCCTTCCCAAACGCGCTTCTTTTTCTTTGGCCTGTAGTTCCATCATGCGCCGCTTGCGCTCCACTTTTGTAAGTCTTTCTTTGGGACCGGCTTGGTGTCGTAGTAAGCCTACCCCCACAGGAGCCGTCTCTTGCTTAGCCTTTGCCTGCGCCATGATCTCCGCAAATGATCCCTTTGGTGGCGGCTTTGAGGCTGTGGCAGCGCCTGCCGATGTGGGTTTGGGGGTTGTCGCCTTCTGTGAGGGTACCACCTTTGTGGTCGCAGACAAGCTGGGTTTCGGGGTGGGCTTAGGCAGAGCCGGCCTAGAGGTGGTGGTCGGAACTGGCTTGGGCACAGCTTTGGGTGGTGCTGACGATACCGCTGGCCTCGTGGCAAGCGTAGGTTTCATTTCAGCTGTATTATTTGTCACCTTGCTTTCAGGTTTTGGTGGGCGAGGCAGCTGGTCCTCAGCTTTGCGCTTGATCCCTCCACTGACATTCCCACTGGTCGGAGGCGCCCGTCGCACAGCGATCGCTTTTCGATCCTCTTTTTTGGGGGTCGAAGCAGGCGCAGGCGAGGTAGGCGCCTGAGACAGTGGGGGTTGGGAGGGCTTACCCGTCTGGAGAGACGAGAGAACGGAATCGAGGAACTATTACATGTCAGTCAAAGTTGGAGATGAAACGAAGAGGAAGACAGGTAGCCATACACTCATTTTGATTGTAGGAGAAATATCCCGAAAGGTGTAAGACCTGGAGTTGAGGAGTGGTACAGAGAAGAAGTCGCTCACCGTCGATATTTGGTACGACTAAGTAACTTCATGACTCCGAACCCGATAGCATGAGAATAGATCGCTAGCTTGGCTCGCTCCGGATTTTCTGTTATTCCAATGTAACAGAACTATCAGAAGTAAAGGACACGCCTGACTTGGCCCAAGAGCTTTCCAAGTGAGAGGGATATACTCCGTAGACGAGTAGAAAAGGCAGACAGGTTTATAGGCCAGCATGCAATTATCAAAGCCGGATAGGAAAGGGTCACGTGATAGAAACACACTGCGCCACAGTACTCGCTTAGAAGTCCCGCCAACACTAGCCACACCCACTCGCACCACCTTTTTTCAAGATTTTGAGCACTCGGTTAATCCTTCGTCAACCAACTTCTTCCACCAGAACTCGACGTTGCAGTCTCCGCCCAATTCGCGGTTAAATCGATTGTTTCTCTTGTTCAGATAATAATCACCAACGGTATGTACAACTCTTTTTTTGTGCCTCTCAGCCGATTTTGCGGCTTGAGAAGTGCGATCGCATCCGACCTTGAATTCGCGATACTAATGAAGATTTTTTGTCTAGTCCTTTCAAAATGAAGTATCTCGCCGCCTACCTGCTCCTCGCCCTTGCCGGCAACGAGGCCCCCTCCTCCGCCGATATCAAGGCTGTCCTCTCCTCCGTCGGCATCGACGCTGAGGCCGACCGTCTCGACAAGGTCATCTCCGAGCTCCAGGGCAAGGACCTCCAGGAGGTTAGTGACACTCGCACGCGCACATATCTAACCTGAACTGCATGCTAACTCTTTATGTAGCTGATCTCCGAGGGCTCTGCCAAGCTCGCTTCCGTCCCCTCCGGCGGTGGTGGTGGTGCTGCTGCCCCTGCCGCTGCCGCTGCCGGTGGTGCCGCCGCTCCCGCTGAGGAGAAGGTTGAGGAGAAGGAGGAGGAGTCCGATGAGGATATGGGCTTCGGTCTCTTCGATTAAGCGCTTTAATCCAAGGCCTAAAAATCATGGTTCTGGGGAACAGATGTTTGGTTGGTTCGTCAGTCCGGGCAAGATTTGCGCCGGTTGGCTTCTCAAGTGTGTTCTGTTGAGACTGTTTTAATACAGTTGCGACTTTTCATGTGAGCTGGAATAAGCTTATAGCCAATACACTTCGTCTGGCCTTCACTACAACTTTTCTCAATCTGTATATGTAGTTCTTGAAAGATCGCCGGGACCCGCTCAGCGTTTTACGCGATAGCGTGTAGTCAAATTCCCTTGGAGAACTAGAGATTCAATCGTCCACGTCATGGTAACCAAGTGTACTCAGATTGTACTCAGATAAGAGCCATCAACAACCTCCGTTTCTGATACGACATGCATGTCAGCCCTGGTAGGGGAATTGGTAATCATAATACAAATATATTACACCAATGGTACAAGCGTTTCTGATGACTTCCCCAAGCAAAGGCGAGTAAATCAAGATTACAAGGAATTTGATTACAAAACAAAAACCAATGTTTCAAAATAGATTACTCATATCCCAAACGGGTATAGCGTCTAGGGCTTGGAACCTACCCGTCGCTTAACGAGTGCTGCCCACCTCCTAGAGCCTGTGTGTTAGCAGCCCGACCGCTTAGCGACACGACAATTTCCGACAACCCATCTTCCTTCGCTTTTCGAGATACGGTCGAAAGGCGGTTTACAGGAATATCTGCAAAAATGGCTGACAGCGAATACGTGAGTTTTTTTGCCCTCGCCCTTTAAGCCCGTGCGATACACTAACATGGAGTTTTCATTTAGAACGCCGAGGAGGCTGCCGGTATGTTATAAAGAATAAAACCCATCCCCACCCATCGCCCCTGGACAGAAGAATCGAATGAGAGGAGAGAGCGCGAATTACAATCGACTATACGGCGATGATCGAAGGAATATACGTTGGCGGGGAACGACATGGACCTGGGATGCAGGAAGACACGCACAACAACGAGATCGCAGACGCTGACTGAACCTTCGCCAAACAGAGATCAAGAAGAGAAGACAGTTCCGCAAGTTTTCTTACCGCGGCATTGACCTCGACCAGTACGTTTCCATTACCAATCATCGAACCCTTGGACATCCATTCGCAGCCAGTGCCTCGTGAGACGGAATTTAAGGTGGTCACCTACCATGCCAACAACCATTATGGATGAACCGCATGTGACATTTTGGTTCTCGACTCTTTGGCGCTGCGTTACGAATGGACACCAAGGAGCAAAGATTTTACAAGGACATTGGTCTGACTGAATCCTTTTACAGGCTCCTCGACCTTTCCTCCGAGCAGCTCCGTGATGTCGTTCACGCCCGTGCCCGCAGACGTTTCAACCGCGGCCTGAAGCGCAAGCCCATGGGTCTCATCAAGAAGCTCCGCAAGGCCAAGCAGGAGGCCAAGCCCAACGAGAAGCCCGATCTCGTCAAGACCCACCTCCGTGACATGATCGTCGTCCCCGAGATGATCGGCTCCGTCGTCGGTATCTACTCCGGTAAGGAGTTCAACCAGGTTGAGATCAAGCCCGAGATGGTTGGCCACTACCTGGCTGAGTTCTCTATCTCTTAGTATGTGCTCCCGAGATTTGCTCCCATGACCATTAATATCAGAGTGCTAACAACCTCCCAGCAAGCCCGTCAAGCACGGTCGTCCCGGTATCGGTGCCACCCACTCTTCCCGTTTCATTCCCCTCAAGTAAACGATTTCAAACGATTCCCCTCGGAGTGGCGTGTGGTGGAAATGGTGCTGGGAAAGCAAAAATGGAATTCAGCAAAACTCTCAACTGGGCTCTTTTTTTCAGCATGTATTTCCAGTCTGGGTCAGCTGTTTCCAACTCAATTTAAGATCTTGTCGGCATGAAATCATCTTGGGATCTGGATTTAGTCCCTCGTCGAATCTGGCGAGGTAAAAAAGATACTCCTTCCTTCGTCTCGCTTTGTGTCGCCGGGGAAGGAGTCTAAATCTAACGACACTACAAATTTCATATCCAGACATATTGTAGGCGAGTAACCCCAAGGCGCACAGTAGACAACACTAGTCAACCCCGTCTCATAGTCCCTGAGTCTAGGTCATGAGGTTCATTGAGACTGCCCCGTCGTATTACTGTGAGCTGCTCCACAAATTGGACTCCGCTACCTTTACTCTGGGGAAGCGGGATCGTGTCAATCAATGTAGCAGCTAGGTTCATTGAGCCTCATTGTTGTGTAAATATGATATTGAATATAAGCTAGCAAGAATTTACGGCACATTCAATTAAATGTCGTTTCATATGTATTCTATTTCCCCATCGCTGGTCATGGACAGAACATATCTAGGGCTACATACTAGTAGATATATATTTCCAGAACGGCCTCTTGCCAAAGGAGTTGCCCATTCCAGATCGTTAGGTCATTGCAGTGCTTCGAACCCGTTTCATACCACTATAATATTACCTGACTTCAAAGTTAAGGTTGGACTCGATGGTTTCGATCCATGACCTGCCCAGGTACCTAGACATGGCGGCACGTTGTGATGTCACATTGCTCCCCGCAATCCTGCATTCACCAGATCTCATACTTCGCATATCAATTTTAAATTTTAGATATCTCACTATATATTTCCCACTTTTACTCAAATGTTGCCGTTTATCCGGTATTTGGTGACGTTGTATATATGCGGAGGCTGTCCAACTGCCGAGACCTCCGAATGCTGATCTCAACAATGTCAACGGGTATTCTGCATGAACCATGAACCTCAACAGAGCAGATGATTATTCGGACTACGCAATGCATAGTGTCCGTAGATGAGATTGGATCTTCCAATTTAATGCCGAAAAGCCATCCAACAAGCAGTTTTAAATCGGGTTGGGCGGCCCCGGCGATATTGGGCCGAGGCAAGCCGCGAGCCGAGATTGCGGAGAAAGACCCATCTCTTTAAGTACTCGGCTGCTCGTGTGCATTCCTTTTGTCTTTCCTCTGACAGTCCTTTTGAGCCTCTATCACATTCCCCAAATTTCGGCTCCTTAGCTTTATTTCCCCGCAATGCCCGTCCCCTCCAAGTACCCCCTGGTCGACATCCCAGAAGTGGACCTCTGGACCTTTCTATTTGAGCGCAAGGATAGAGAATACCCAGATGACAAGAGTGCGTGCTATCCAATGAGAATCCCAATGCTGCGCAGTTAAATACGGCATTTTCATTTCTCTTTTTTCTTACTGACTCCCACCAGTTATCTACCAAGATGCCGATACCCAACGCCATTACACATACAAATCACTGCGCGATGCTTCGCTAGAATTCGGCAACGGCTTGAAAGCCGTGTATGAGTGGCGCAAGGGCGATGTATTGGCCCTCTTCACGCCCAACAGCATCGACACACCCGCGGTGATGTGGGGTACACTTTGGGCCGGCGGAATTATCTCGCCTGCGAACCCAGGTTACACAGTTGACGAGCTGGCCTTCCAGCTCAAGAACTCCAATGCCAAGGGACTCGTAACGCAAGCCGCAGTGCTGTCTGTTGCGCGGGAAGCCGCGAAGAAAGTCGGCATGTCTGAGGACCGCATTATTCTGATTGGGGACCAGCGGGATCCCGATGCGCGGATCAAGCATTTCACCTCTGTGCGCAATATCTCCCGTGCTACCCGCTACCGCAAGCAGAAGATCACTCCTGCGAAGGATGTGGCGTTCTTGGTTTATTCATCGGGGACTACGGGTGTGCCTAAGGGTGTCATGCTGTCGCATCGGAATATCGTCGCCAATATTAGACAGCAGGTCATTGCTGAGGGTAGGATGTTGAGTTGGAATGGTGGTCCTGATGGGAAGGGTGATCGGGTCCTGGCATTTTTGCCGTTCTATCATATCTATGGTATGACTTTCAATTGTGTAGATGATTGGATGAACAAGATACTAACTACGAGCCTCTAGGGTTGACCTGCTTAATTACCCAGGCTTTATACAAGGGTTACCACTTGATCGTCATGTCGAAATTCGACATTGAGAAGTGGTGCGCCCACGTGCAGAACTACCGCTGCTCGTTCAGTTACATCGTCCCTCCTGTGGTGCTATTGCTAGGCAAGCACCCCGTGGTCGACAAATACGACCTTTCAAGTCTTCGCATGATGAACTCGGGCGCCGCACCGCTCACGCAAGAGCTGGTAGAGGCAGTATACTCCCGCATCAAGGTTGGCATCAAGCAGGGCTACGGACTCAGCGAGACCAGCCCAACTACACACTCCCAACGGTGGGAGGACTGGCGCGAGGCCATTGGTTCTGTTGGCCGCTTGATGCCTAATATGCAAGCCAAGTATATGACTATGCCTGAGGACGGATCCGAGCCTAAGGAGGTTGCCGAGGGCGAGGTTGGCGAATTGTACGTAAGCGGACCTAACGTTTTCCTGGGCTATCACGAGAACCCAGAGGCTACTAAGGGCTGTTTGTCTGAGGATGGGTGGTTCCAGACTGGCGACGTTGGATACCAGGACGCCAAGGGCAATTTCTACATTACCGATCGTGTCAAGGAGCTCATTAAATATAAGGGCTTCCAGGTGCCTCCTGCTGAGCTGGAAGGATATCTGGTTGACAATGATGCTATTGATGATGTTGCTGTTATTGGCATTGAGAGCGAGGCACATGGCTCCGAGGTTCCTATGGCTTGTGTCGTTCGCAGTGCGAAGAGCAAGTCTTCCGGAAAAAGTGCGAAGGATGAAGCAGCGAGCATTATCAAATGGTTGGATAGCAAGGTCGCCAGCCACAAGCGTCTGCGTGGTGGCGTGCAGTTCGTGGATGAGATCCCCAAGAACCCCAGTGGGAAGATCCTGCGTCGGATTCTGAAGCAGAAGTTCAAGGGGGCGGCCGAGGCACCCAAAGCCAAGCTGTAAATGAGTTCTCTTAGATATGCACACAATATACACTTTATATCTGTTCATGTTCATATCATGTTTGAAAGATGTAAGATCCGAAAAGTATCCATTAACTAGTATATCCAACCCTAAGCCCCTTTCCAGTATAGAAACCTAGAGATTCAAGCCCTAACCCAATCATAATTTAAGGGAAAAACCTCTTAACCATACCCTCAACATCCTCCCCAACAACAGCATCAACCTTCTCCCTCACAACCCTCTCAACAGCCTCCTCAACCCCCTCCTCCCCATTAACAAGATCAATCCACCCCTCCGTATCAGACCTAGCAAGCAAAAGATCCGCCACAATGGCCACATCCTCCCGAGTAACACTCCCGCGACCCTTGGGCGTGATCCCCAGCTCGACCTTTCTTGTCGCAGGCTCGTCAGTCAGAAGCCCAGGCCGCAGATTAATAGCCTGGAAAGGCCGTGTCGGTCCAGACTCGCGCTTCCGCTGCACAGCCAGTGCTGTCATGTACTCATCGGCTTCTTGCTTGGCTTGAGCGTACGTAGGCAGCACTTCGGTGGTCATCTTTACTATTCCTGCCCATTGGTCGTCGGGCATCCAGCTCGGCTGCTTGCGTCGACTGCCTAGGTACGATACCATGAGGAATTTGCTTACGACTGGTGATGCGAAGGATGCGGTTATGAAGTGCTTCGCGGCTTCTTGGTCGATTGCGATTGTGCGGGCTGCCCCGCCTTTGCCGCCGGCGCCTGAGTTTGCGTGTTAGTTTGTGCTTTGCGGGACTTGTGGATTTTGGATCGTGGGTTATAGAGGTCTATGTGGTTTCATGTTTTTGTTTTCTCTGGAGATGGCTTATGTGCGTGTTGTGCGTTGCCTAGGTGCTAGGTCCAACGAATAAAAGTGGGTGCGGGGTGAGGGGTGAGGGGTGCCATACCAGCCGACCAGACGACATAGTCTGGCGTAACTGTGTCGATGACTTTTTGAGCGTCTGAGGGGCTCTTCACGTCATCTAGACTCGAGAGTAGCACATTGAGGGTACCCTTGTGGCCTTGGCCCAGTGATAGAATCTCGCTTTCGTGCGCGGCGTTGCGGACGACGCTGGTTACGCTCCAGCCCCGTTTGAGGAGGAGCGGAGTAAGGTGGAGGGCGATTTTGCCATGACCACCGAGTAGAAGAACATGCATTTTGGATTTGGTTTAGATATGACTTTGTGTGCGTGTGTGTGACAGATGTCGGAGGGTTAGTGTGTGGTTGTTAGTTGATTGGGAAAAGGAACTCGTTGCGTCATCGCAATGGATCCCTCCCAAAACGGTGAGCTTGGCGTTGATTTCTAACTACAAAGAAATGTTGTAGGTAGATAGAAACTGATAGATAGAAATTGAATCTACGCGTAAATTGTGCTAATCTCAGGTGTGTTTTACAGTACAGTAGTCATTATAAGCCAACATTAGGTAGGTTGAAAACCATTCAATTTAAAACCATCTATAGATGGCTATATATAAGTACAATGACGTCCAAAAGAACAATAGAACTACCAGCATATCTAACCTCGTCATCCCCTAGTTCATCCAGTCAAATTTGCCTTGAAGATAGCCCAGTTTCTTCCTGGTTGATGCCATACTGTTTGGTGATCACTATTTGATCCCCAGCAATCTAGGCAATCTAGCAAGAAGCACCAGTAGGCACACCAGAGCACTTGGTGCTCTTTTTACCACCAGTGAGAGCGTTTCCAGACCAGGTCCAGTCCTTGCAACTGCCGCTACCGCAAAGGATGTAGACGGGAGTAGCGCTGCTCTCAACTGCGCCGGTAACCTTCTCGACAGTGAGGTCGGTAATGGGGACACCGGTAGTGGGATTGCCTTTCGGGCTGCCGTTCTCGTAATCCTGCTCGATGACGATACCATACTTTCTGATGTTGGATAGCTTGATGTTGGAGAAAGTCACACCGGAGACTGCACCAGTGGCCTTGTAGATGGTCTTGACGCGGACGCCGTTGTCGGAGTTGGTCACGGTTGAGTCAGAGATGGTCACATTCTTCACGATGTTGTTGTCGCGCAAGCCAACGGAACCGATGGAGAGACCGTGGCCGCCGGAGCAGGTACCGCCGGTGAAAATGATGTTCTGGTAGACTAGGGTTAGTTGATTTGCTTTTTATGGTAGAAGTATCCTTTGACTGCTTACCTCGCCAGAGTTGATAGCCAGGCAGTCGTCCTGGTTCTTGATGTTAGCGTTGCTGATGGTGATGTAGGTACTGTCGCCAACGTCGAAGGCATCGGTGTTGTGGCCGCCCTTGGAATCACCGTCGGTGTTGTCGATTGTGATGTGGTCGAGGACCAGGTTGTCGGCCTGCACACTGAAACCCTGGACCGGGGTGTTCTTGACGTTCAAGCCGGTGATGGACGAGTCGTCCAGGGAGTGGGCGTAGAAGAACTTGGGCTTAGTCTTTCCGCCGTTGGTTCCCTTACCGTCCCACCAGCTAGCACCGCCGCCGTTGATGACATGGCCTGCTTCGCCGGAGACATGAATGTTCTTGCCGGACATGCGGATGAGGGGACCCTTCCACTCCTTGTATCCGAAGGTAGTCTCGCCCTTGAAGATGACCTATACAGCAGCTATTAGATCTTTGGTTCTTGGCGCTTGGATACCGGAGATATCTACCTTAGTGCCGCTCTGCAGCTTGGAAAGGTCAAGACTTTCGCCGGCAGGGACCTTGATGTTGTCCAGCACAATGGTGGAACAAGACTGCTGGCTAGCGCTGGCGCTGGCGGCCGAGTTGAAGGTGCAGGTCGAAGACCCGCGCTCAACAAGCTCGGAAACACGAGAAGGAGCTGGGGCAGCAGACACAGCGGCGGCGCTGAGGGCCAGCATGGAAACGAAAGAGGTACGCATTTTGAAGTAAATGTCCGATCAACAGACAAGTGAAGAGAGTGTAATTGTTCGGGACTAGCCGAGTTGAGTGCAATAGGAAATGAGGAATGAATGAATGAATGAATGAATGGGTTTGAATAAGCTATTCCATCGAGCTTGGCCTTGATATTTAAATGCTTGGCCTATACAGTATCCTCCTTATAGCCCCTGCGCTAGTATCATTATGAAACGGAACCATCACCAACTGCCATGATATTGACCCCTGATCTCAGCCGGAGCACTCATTGGGGGATCATGAGATCCAGGCATGCATGGTAATTGTTAAGTGATCCATTGGATTAATCTATTAGGGTCACCTACACCTAACTTGGCAACTCTCCGAACCATTTAGCTCCACCGAGCCTAGAGCCGTGGTGAGACGACCATTATTGCTGGAACAATTAATTCTCGGAATATCTCCGGGTAAATAGAATGAGACATACTGGTTATTGTCCAATTAGGACACGGAATTAATATCTGCAGACTATATTATGCCTACGCCGTTGGAAACGATGTGGAGCTCCGTCAAGCTTGTGTTTCACGCCAAGCATTTAATTTGAGGAATTTCTCGATGGACTCCGTAGGGCTGGCTCAAACCGAGTCGCAGTGCATGAAGACCCATCCCAAAAATTCTGTGGCGCTGAAACAAAAACCCATTTATTTAGCAGTCTTTTGTTTGATTGGTGGCCTATCTAGATATGCAGAAAATGATACAAACGCATTATAAACAAGGCCGCCTATGCGGCCGACTATCCATTCTTGTACATTATAAATCAAGATGGTTAGGGGGTACAAATCCACTCCATACTCCGTACTCGTATCTGCCTAGTTATTCCTAACCTGAGCATGTAATCATGCACACGCCTTCTCTTCAAGCATATCGCACTTGATTATGGGCTGAAAAGTCTTTTTACTAAGAGCGATGAGACAACGATGGGATGGTCGAGTTGCTCCTTACATCCGAGTCAATGTAGTAGGGCAGATGAAGATTCTACTCTTGGACTTGTAGAACCAACCTTGGAACGTGGTAGGCCTTCTATTACAGCTGGGTAACCGATTTGACATAAACCATCGGAACAACCTGGAAGAAAGCGGGACAGCCCTGTCAGCGATGACTCGTTTGGGAAATTTACGCATTACAAAGCTGATTTTGGAGGATAACCCAGTAACTCAATGCTGTCAACAAGTTGGGCAAAACTGAAATGGCTGCTTCAAACGGGTATCTTGAAGTCGTGGAGAAATTCTTGCAGGATCCAAGGTTGTGCTGCAATCTGCTTCCGAAGGACCCAGTATGGATGCTCGGAGGTTGTCAAACAATATAGCCAGGGGAATAGTGGCCCAATCTGTTTTACCTAAGACGCAATGTTTGTGATGTATGGTAATAGGTCTTATAGCATTTTCTTTTTGATTTCATTCTTTCCTTTTTTGGAATACTGGAATGAATTCGGAAGGTGCGGCAAATCTTTCCGTGATACAGCCTAGAACAGTACATATGTACATGTATATATGAGATAACCTGGGCTATGTAGGAATTGCCTATAAACTACAATTATCTTCTACTTACCAAGTTATTTCGCGATCAGTCATCGCGATGGTGCAGATTGCTCAAGAGCACATCGGAGTCAGAAGCGTACAATAAAGAAAGGTGTTGATCTAGACTAGGTCTGAGAGCTCTGACTATGGGGATCAACCGTCATCCACTTGGCATCATCACCTGTCACCAGGCGACTAGTTCATAATCCTGCAGGTACTCCAGGGTTCTACGCTATTCCTTGGTCTTCATGATATCGTTCTGTACTTTACACATTTCGATGATAGATGATGAATAGCAAAAATGATCATCCCAACTTTTAACATATCAAGTCACCACGCTAGATCATCTTGGATTCACGATGATCAGATCAATCCAGGCGGCTCAGCGGTTGGCTTCGCGGGGACACCCAACTGTTCAAGTTGATCTCAAATACCGGCAAAGGTAAGAGAGCACTAACGATCACTAAACTAGCTTCTTACACTGATGCAGGTACCTTTCGGGCCCTCGTTCCATCTGGTGCGTCTACAGGTGCGAATGAAGGGATTGAGCTGCGAGACGGGGGTAGTTCTACACATGGCGGCCAGGGTGCCCACAAAGCTGCTTCGAACATCAGACCGGTCATTGGCCCTGCTCTAGTACAGAGCGGGTTCAACGTTGATACGGACCAGAAATGGTTGAAGATTTTCAGCATCTGGATGGTACGAAAATTAAGTCGAAGCTCAGGGCGAACGCCCTCTTGGGTGTCAAGTATGGCATGTGCTAAAGCTGGTGCAGTCCATTCCGTAAATCAGAATTAATGATGGGAAATTATAGCTGATATATACTTAAGGGATTCCATTGTACGAGTTTTTTCGACGTGGGTCTGGAGCAAAAAGACCATTCGTGATGCCAGTGCCATTCCTAAACGGAGATGTGCATTCAGGTAACAAGATGGCTTTTGAAGAGAGTGTGCAAATCTATGCTGCTCAAAATCAACCAAATAGGCAGCATCTCCGAAGCAATTGAGGCGTGGATTTCTCCTAGGTCTCCCTTACAATTATCCTGGACAGAATCTCCTAATTATTCGTAGGGTGAACTTGGTCTAGAGCTTTGACTGGAGTGTTTTCGTATCCCACCGGTCTGGCGAGATGACCGATGACTTCATTGCAGATTTAGTAGTGGGCTTGAGGATGGGCCATCTTAAATCTAGGACACTCCTGCCGGGTGAGAGAGTTCCTAAGTATAATCGGCTCATGGATATCGAGGCAGAAATATTGGGAAAAGGTGAAAATTGCCTTCATGCTGGTTCACATTTCAGGGTAGCATCCAAGTATTGAACCTCCTCCCTCCCCTTCTCATCTCCAGACTTCAGTTATACTCATTTTCAAGGTTGGCATCAACACAACATGGTACGGCAGAATATAGCGGCACATCGGACAAGGGGCATTTGATTTGAGAACCTTTGTAGAAGTTGTTTTACCTTCTTAGTGTCGTAGCTATGTATGGCTGTACTTTTTAACACATACTCGTTATTCGGCCATGACGTCGCAGTCATGGTTCATAGCAACATTCGGATGAGGGCTCTGCTTAAGCTGCTCGCATATATGGGTCTCCTACTTGGTCCTTTACGAGACTCCCAAGGCACTCAATCACTTTTATGGCGAGTAAGAATACGAACAACGCTTGATACAACACGAAAAGATAACTAGACTGTCATGGCCAAGACCATGTGTTGGTGAGAATTGCCGAGGTCGGGGTTCTCCGCGCCTACCCACTCCGACCCCCTTCTCATCCCCGGACTTCACCTGGGCAGTTATGCTCTAATTTGGTAACAACAACAACACCAAACATGTCCGCCGCGGACAACCCTCCAGTCCCAGGGGATGCGCTGGACCTCCCACCCCGCGCCTTACGCGACGTTCTCCGCGTGTGTCTCAGCGCCAAAGAATACCGATTCGTCCACGAATCAGTGATCAAACGCGCCCCTGCCGTGCAAAACAAGCTCCCATCTCCATCTCGCTACGATGCCATCGCTCGCCCGAAGAACCGACACAGTGAAGCCGCTATTCGCTCATCGCTGCGAGTCTTTGTCGGCTCCGGAATCGCGTTGAAGTTGGCGGATCTGTTGATTACTCGGTTCCAAGGCGCTCCACAGTAAGAACAATTTATTCTACCAAGAGACTCCTCTTTTTAGGAATATGCACTGACGCTGGCTCTAACCAACAGGGAAAAGACCCGAACTCCCCTCCTCCGATCTCCCAAATTCCGTCTCTCCATCTCCCTATCCCTCCTCCTTCTCATCCATCGCCTCCTCTACCGCTTCCTCATCCGACTGCGAGCCAACCTCCGCACTGATGATGCGAAGCCGTTCAGAGAGCGCAACCCGCGTGTCTCGCGGGCGCTGACCTCGCGTTTTGCGCCAGCGATCGGCGCAAGTCTGGCGGGTTTCGCCCTGGGCATCTGCCCGCAGGACCAGCTCCGACTGACTGCGGCGATTTACACAGGCACCAGGAGTTTGGAGTTCTTGTTTAATGTCCTGGACTCTAAAGGCTGGCTGGATAAGCGCCCATGGTGGTTCGGCAGCTGGCTGTTGATGCCCATCTCATTTGCGCAGCTCTTCCATGCGTTTGTGTTTGATCGCGAGACTACACCTAATGTTTGTGGTCGGGAATTTTTTTCTTTGAGTTACGGTCGCTAATTTGATGCCATAGTGGTTTGGAAATGTCATTCTCAAGCTCTCGCCGAGCTACATCCAAGGCCGACCGGAGTCACTCCCCGTCGACATGGCCTGGCCCGAGAAGGAAGAGATTGTGAACTCTCTTGCCTCTATTGCTGATCTCCGCTGGCCGTATGTTTGAAGTTGAGTCTGTTAAAGAGTATAGCGGTCGCTAATATGATACAGGGCATTCGTATCTCCAATTCTACACCCGGGTGACCCCAACACCTTGCCGTCATCAGTGGCTTCAATCTCCCCAATCACTGGCCCAGCACACCCTGCCATCTCAAGTCTATCATGCGCTCTCTTGCACCCGAACCTCCCGAACTGTAGCACCGCATTCTTGCATCACATTCTGCTCTCCGTGCCGCCGCTTGCCCGGTTCCTCACAACCGTCACTCTGGCGCTTTCGATCCCCAAACTTAAGAGTATTCTGCTTCAGCCTATTTCATCAGTGAATACTATCTCGAAGCGCATTATTACCATGACGGCGGTTATCTCTGCTGCAATTGGCTCAGCCTGGGGTAGTGTCTGTCTCCTGAATAACAACTTACCCCGAACAACACTTCCTACCAAGCGGTTCTTCCTTAGTGGAGCACTGGGCGGTCTGCCATTTTTGTTCCTGGGCAACAGCCGCAGCACATTCCTCTGGTTTTTCCGGGCCGCTGTTGATTCGGCGTACAAGACCGGGGTCAAGCGTGGACTATGGAAGGGCCGAAGAGGCGGTGAGCTATTGTTGTTTGTTCTGTCCTGGGCGCTCATGGGGTCGATCCTTGAGGGGAACCCTGAGGCCGTGCAGGGTGGTGGACTACGTAAGGGTCTAGCCTGGCTGAGAGGTGATGGATTTGCAGATCCAGTGGATATTATGAAACGCAGAATGCGACGGGAATCGAAGAAAGCCGACGGAAGTGAATGAACGAGTTAATAGCCTCTTTTTCCATGTTCCGATGTCATATTTTTGGAGTTCAATTGGGGTGGAATTCACTTTCCGACCCCACGTTTGCGGAGATGATCTTCGGAGACTGGCCTCCGCATTTTACTGACCTCCGCATTTAGTTCCTTTATAACTAGAAGCTCCCCAGTTTCAATATTTCCCCTTCATTAGCAATTCATTTTTATTTCTCATTTATTTCATTGATATCCTCGAGCTCTGCATTTTATACAATGACTTCCCAAAGATTGAAGATCGGCTGTGCTGGCCTAGGCCGCATGGGAAAGCGCCATGCCCTAAACTTCCTGCAGCGTACTCCCCGAGCTGAGCTTGTTGCTGCCAGTTCCCCTGACCCCGTCGAGCTCGAATGGGCCAAGATTCACCTCGAACCCTTTGGCGTAACCCTGTACCAGAACTACGATGACATGCTCAAGCATGAAGGTCTGGTTGCCGTGGTGGTTGCATCGGCAACTGTAGTGCATGCCGAGCAAGCAATCAAGGCAATTGAAGCAGGCAAGCACACTCTTTGCGAGAAACCTCTCTCTACAAGTCCCGAAGTGGTAAGTTGGTTGTATTTTGAATCCGTCTCAACCCCAATCAATCCAATCTACATACCAAATACAAAGAACCAAACATTGAAATCAAGAACTAACAATCCACCTCTTATACAGTCCCAATCCGTCGTCGACGCAGCAAAAAAGAACCCACACCTCAAAGTGATGTGCGGCTTCTCCCGACGCTTTGACAGTTCCTACCGCGACGCATACCAGAAGATGCAGTCAGGAGCGATTGGCACTGCATCCGTGCTCCGCAGCCAAACCTGCGACAAACTCGACCCGAGCGGCTTCTTCGTCGCGTACGCAGAGTTCTCCGGCGGCATCTTTGTAGACTGCTCTATCCACGACATCGACCTCACACTCTGGTTCTTCGGCGACCAGTGCAAAGTGAAGTCCGTGACGGCGATCGGCATCACAGCCGTCGAGCCCGACCTGCGCAAGCACAATGACCGCGACAACGCCGTCGGCTTGGTCGAGTTCTACGACGGCCGTATGGCCTACTTCTATGCTTCCCGTATGATGGCCGCTGGTCAGGAGGATACTACCGAGATTATTGGCACAAAGGGAAAGCTCTCCGTTAATACTCAGCCTGCGCTGAACCATGTTAATATCTATGATGAGTCCGGGATCAGGAGGGAGATCCCCCAGAACTACTATGATCGCTTTGAGTATGCGTTTGTTACCGAGGCGAATGAGTTCTCGGCTGCTTGTCTTGATAACACTGCGCTGCCTATTGACCTTGAAAATGCTGTTAAGGCTGTTCGGATTGGTGCTGCGTTGCAGGAGTCGTTGATTACCCAGAAGAAGATTTTCTTCGATGAGGATGGGAACCGGTCCGAGTTGGCTCGTTTGTAAATAATGTGTGACGTGCCTTTGGGGTTTCAAAATATACACCATATACGTTCCGTGATGTTATACATACCCTTTCAAATTAAGACGATATATGACTTCCAATGTTTCAATATAGGCAATCTTGTATTCTGGTTTAGAGTAGACCCATCCAACTCTTCATGTTGCGACATCGAAGGGAAATTATTTAGTAAATCCATTATACGTACCCAGTGACCGGGGTGTGCTTTGCATACATAGTAGCGTCGACTGGTGTTAGTGATAATTAATACCATTTGCAATTCAACATACTCATTTCTCATTTACTTTGTTGGGAGAGGTCTGCAAAGATGACAACATGCATAGTGTAATGTGAGATTATTGAAGAATTTGAAAAAGGCTAAGTGCTAGAGACTATGAAGTTTGACAACTTTCCGGCATATAAAATAGTGTCTTGAAGAGTTCATTACTTTCGTCTCTATCAATCTAATTTCTGGATTTGATTGCCTTGGATTATCGACAAAGTGTGGTTTCTAACGCTAATTGAATGTGATGGCATGTATCGTGGCTATCTCATGGAACTGAAAAAGGAAAAAGGGGAATCATGAAACAAAGTGTGTAGAACAAAGACGCATGGAGACCAAGTCGCAGATCTACCACTTCAGGACCTTGGTAGGGAAGTACTCGTCGATGAGCTCCAAGTAGTACGGCTAGAAAAAAAAAGTTAGCCTCGAGTTCACACATCATCAGCAGAAGTAAAACATACCTTCAACTCCTCAACACTTGGAATTCCATCACTCTTGCTGTACAAATCATAAGGATTGAATGCCTTGACCGCACGCAGCATATCACGGTCGTGGTCATTCATCAACTCGTGGTATGCACCAGCGCTGTGCCACGGATAGAAAGAGTGATAGCGGATCATAGCGAGCGCCTCATCGGGAAGGGTTGACTGCTCCTTAGCGAGGTGGTAGAGGTATTCATCGTGGCCCCAGGAGAGCATGACCTTATCAAGACCACAGCCGGGTGTGTAGATACCAAACTTGGTATCGTAAATCTTGTGGCCGAAATCCTCGTTATCACGGAATGATTCGCGGCCGTAGACGATCTTGTCGTCGAAGCCACAGCCGACGGGGAACGTGTCGCCGACAACGTCCCATTGGCCTTCGGCATCGAAGAAAAACAGAAGCTTGCCCAGGTCGTGGATTAGACCGGTCAGCTGCATCCAGCGGGGCTTGCCGTCGCGGCGAATAGCCTCGGCGGACTGGAGGAGGTGCTCGATCTGGGAAAGGCTGGTGTCGGGGTCTGACTCGTCGATCAGGGTGTTGAGCTTCTCCATGGCTTCCCAGACGGTCATCTCGGCGCGCGTCTTGCTGTGGAAGTCGTGGCGGGCCTTCAGGTTGTAGGCGACGGTCTGCTTGGTGTGTTGCTCCTGGTAGAAGTTCTTGACTCGCTCGTTGGCTTCGTACTGGCGGAAGTTGGTCTTGTCTTTCTCCTTGTCGAACTCGGACGCTTCGTATAGACCTTTCTCTTCGGCTTCTTTCTTTTCAGCCTCGCGCTTCTTCATGTCTTTGAGAACGTTGATCTCGTCAATAGCGTCTGAGAGCTCTTCAAGTGCCTGGCCATCCCGCTTCTTGAAGACAGGGGAGGCCTGTGGGGAGATGGCGACTGGTGCCATTTCGACTGTGCAGTGTTTGTTGATTTTTATAAAATATAAGATCGATGCTTGAGATTTGCCAAATGAAATTGCAATGTCAAATCAGGAAAGTCTTGGAGTTGAAAGAGAGATAGACCCTAGGATGTCGAGTATATATATAGAGGGTCGATGCTAGGAAATCCGATATTGAAAATATCGCGTCTAGATTTCCGATGTCAGCTGTTGTGCGAGGGTTCTCCCCATATCCATTTGCCTGATTTGCCATGACATCGATGTACTTCGACTGCGGGACGAAAAATTATGAAACATCACGGATTCTGGCTTCCGGGCCGATGAAGATCTGGGTTGCTCTTCAAAAGGACGACGATGATTGGCAGCCACAACGTCCCCACGACCCCAAGCCAACCATGTGGAGTGGCTGTGATGTCAAGTGGAGAGGAATTAGTCGAACTGGAAGACGGTTTCCGCTGATCTGCTGACTTTTCTTTTGGAGTATGGCCTGGCGGTTATTGTATGGGGATATTCAATCTTTTCGAGATGCAGATGATGGAGATGGTGGCAATATACCCCTCAAGGAAATATTCTAGAAAACATCGAACATCGTAGAAGACGATCAAGGTGATTGATGGAAAAACCCTCCCGACCTCTTGGTCAAGAACCCTCGGAATAACCCCGATAGCCGCGTGGGGGTGTTACCCTTTGTAAAACCCCCCGCCTTTCTTCTTTTCTTGAACATTTCAACTTCAATCTGTTTATATTTCTGTTTACATCCCTTATTATATATTGTAAATAATCTTCTTTGTCTCTTGATACCCATAAATTCACAATGGCTGCCTGCGATACCCGTTTTAAGCTCAACACCGGCGCGGAGATCCCCGCACTCGGCCTGGGAACATGGCAATCGCAGCCCGGCGAGGTTGCGCGCGCCGTATTCCACGCCATCAAGGTGGGCTACCGTCACATTGATGCCGCTCTTTGCTACGGCAATGAGAACGAGGTCGGCCAGGGCATCAAGGAGGCCATTGACGCTGGCATTGTCAAGCGCGAGGATCTCTTCGTGACTACTAAGCTGTGGTGCTCCTTCCACGGCCGTGTTGAAGAGGGCCTCCAGCAGAGTCTGACAGACCTCGGACTCGACTATGTCGACCTCTACTTGATGCACTGGCCTCTGGCAATGAACCCCAAGGGTGAGTTGAACTTCTTCAAATATGCAAATTCGAGGCGCTGACCACTTCCACCGCAGGTAACCACAACATCTTCCCCAAGCTCGCTGATGGTTCGCGGGACATTATCCACAGCCACTCCCATGTCACTACGTGGAAGAGTATGGAGAAGCTCGTTGGAACCGGCAAGGTCAAGGCCATCGGTGTTTCCAACTACAGTGTCAAGTTCCTCGAAGAACTCCTGCCCCAGGCCACTATTATCCCCGCTGCCAACCAGATCGAGAACCACCCCTTGCTCCCCCAGCAGGAGATTGTCGACTTCTGCAACAAGGCTGGCATTCACATCACCGCTTACAGCCCTCTTGGCAGTACCGGCAGCCCGCTGTTCACTGCTGAGCCCATTGTGGCCGTAGCCGAGAAGCGTGGAGTTACTCCGGCTACTGTTCTGCTCAGCTGGCACAGTAAGTATTCCTAAAGGTTCTGCGCCTTAGATTGGATATAGCATACTAATTTATTGTCCTCCTAGTCGCCCGTGGCTCTTCAGTCCTAGCCAAGTCCGTCACCCCTGCCCGTATCGAGGCCAACCGTGCCGACTTGGTCCACTTGGACGCTGAGGATCTGGCTTCCCTTCGCAAGTACAGCGATGGCCTCCAGGCCGAGGGCAAGCTCCAGCGCTTTGTCTACCCTCCGTTCGGTGTCAACTTCGGCTTCCCCGATAAGCAGTAAGCTTTCTTCGTACCTGAAAAAAAAAAGGTCGATAGACGTGCTACATGTATAGAAAGGACTGGTGCCTTTTTTTGTTTTATGATATAGATATCAAAATGGAAGATTTATGATTTCATGAATAACATTGGATACCTGAACTATAGAAAGGCCGTACACGGACTTATTTGCTCTGTAGATATAGCAATTTTTCTATCCCTCAAACTGCCCCACCCCACTCTATACATATGTACCCAAGTCCATATGCCACTGCGTAATTTAGCTCTAGTCTAACTATTTATTGTTTCAGTCTCGCTTTTGCTTCAATTTGCGATTGATACCACTTCAAATTCGACATTTGACTAAATTGAATCTTATTTTCTGTCCTTTTTGCCTCACCACTCAGTGAACTGAAAGCAATGCCAGAATTCTGACACTGAAGCCAATCAATGGGAATCTGACCAGAAAGCGGAATAGAATCGAGACCGCTGTAGCTTCCCATTTCAGGCCCCACCATACCCCAACTGCACTTCCTACCACCCATCCGTCACAGCACGCAGGCCCAAGCCAAGGCTAAGATAACCACCACTAGCTGGCTCCCCAGCACTAGGAAATGAAACCTGCTCATTCAATTCATCTTTTCTGGTGCCTGGGTAACCCGCGCAATGGCAGCAGTCGTCAGGGTGGTGAAGACAGCGGCAGGATCTATGCAGATCCTGCCGTGGGTGGTAGCAGCATGCAGGGTTCAGCCCCCACACGCTGTATCCCTCACCGTGGCGCGAACTAGACTGCTCGGCCATAGATCCTCCGCAAACCGAGATGCAGGGCACCGCTCGGATAGTCTGCGTCTGCGGCAAGTTGCTAGACGCTGAGGCAGGCCGGTTCCACGGGTTGATGAATGGCGCGCCCGCATACGTGGTAGTTTTGGGTTGTGAGGGGAGAAGGACTGGAGGAGCGGATAGTGGTTGTTTTCCCTCCTGGTTGTTATCTGGCATTTCAGAGGAAGGCCCGGGGGACGGCCATTGTGGATGGAGAATGTGAGGTGAAAGTGAGGGAATTGTGACAGAAAGTTGATTATCTCTCGTCCGCTGGCGCTGGATTGCCCGGTGTCGCTTTCTCGCGTCCTTACCATGGTGATTATTCTTGCGCTTCTGCGCGGTTGTCTGTCCTATGATAGTCTCACCGTCAGAACTCAGTTTGGTGATTTGAGACTCGGCGCTTTGGAGTGGTCCGGATGGATCGGGTGGATGACCGGTGCTGATCTCCGAATCGACGGAAATTTAATATAATCAATTACCCATTCAATAGAATTGATTGAAAATTACTAGTGGTAGTTATGGCATTGCAAAACGCCACTAGACACGGAAATTGTATAAGAACCGACTCCTCCCCTTGAACCCTGCATAGTCTAGCCAAATCCATCTCCAAATTTATTTTCAACATAATGGCAGAGACCCTGGAAGAATGGGCCCTCTTGGAGCCCCTTTGGGACAAGGCCATCCAATCACCGTTATCCATCATGTTGGACGAAAAACATCAGATACTGGAATGGCCCGCTATGACAATAATGCAGGCCAACGCCCAAGAATACTTGAACTTCTCGGTTGACGATCTTTTCCACAAAGCAGCCACAAATCCGGATTCCCTTACCTACCCAGAGTGTCGTCTCATGGATAATGACTTTCGAATCATGAAGCTGCTAGATCAAGTCAAGTATTCCAACGATCGCATGCGGTGGGGAGTCGAGCGGCCCGATCTCATCGAAAAAGAAATCAGGCACGTGCTATTGTACTCTCCCCCGTAGAGGTACAAGCATTCGACAACTTAAGGGATGAGAAACTCCCTTTTGCAAAGCAGAGGGCACATTTTGCTGCTCTTCAGGCGAAGCGGAAGCCTCTCGCAATGCCTCGGGGGTGGATACAGAATGTACTCGAGCAGGAAGGTGAGATGAAAACCTTCGGCTTTGTGATCTACCACCCTAAGGTTCAGGACAAAAATATATGGGAGAAGTTCCGGGAGAAATTTGACGAGATCCTTGACGAACCCATGTTCTCGGCGGACGGATTTGATCTAATCGAAGATTTCAAAGTAGCGGAATTCGTTGAGTCCGAGATTCCGAACCCAGACAATTTGGATATTCCCAGAGAGTGAGTCCGACAGATCAACGCGACTTGTAAGCTATATAATACTGACGAAATAGGAAATTCCGCAACCTTCGGACAAGGAAGGACTTGAAACCAGGACTCTTGTCCAATGTCTTTTTGCTTGCATCAAACGATGCCTGTGAATCGTACATGATAGGACGACAAAAAAGCTATCTTAATGCAGTTGATCCTGACTGGTCTCAAACTGGTATTGACGAAGATGGTTACGATGGACGTGTCAAAATCAGCGCCACTCAAATCTTCTATCGGTTTTACGAATTCATGTCAACAAGAGAGTTTACATTGAAAGATATCTGGCACGATTTCCACCAGGTCAATCAAACTCAAACCATTCTACCCGGTCCACTTGTTGCTTGGCATCTCACAAATCTTGACAAGCCTGCTCGTGCTTGGCCTGATGCATGAATTACTCTCCGGCCATACTGCTTTCTCTGAGAATCGTGGTTCGTGTGAGATAACTCTCTACCCATGAAGGAGATACAATTACGAGTGCAACCATCATTAGTAGTATGGGGAGACTAGGTAGGTCTGAGAAGATTGAGTAGTCTGAGTAGATCGAGTAGTCTGAGTGGACCGAGCGGTCTCAATGGGCCCGGCTGTTAGTACGGTTTGCACATTCCACAAGCATCTCGTACAGGGAGTCAAGGAGTTCTCCCTCCCCGGCGTTGATAGGCCGAGCTCGAGTCGGAGGAGGATGGGGAGAGGCACCCGGTTTAGCAGAGATGGCGTAAGGAATGGGAATGGTAGGAAATGCCAGTAAGTCTGACGAGATAAGGTCCTCAGTCGGTTCGGTGACTCAAGAATCACCTTCAGCTGAACCAGGACAGCCCTGCGATGGCGTTCCATTTATTACTGCCTTGGTATTCCTTTTACGGTTCTTCCGCTTTCTGTCCTTGATAATGGCAGGTGATCTAGATCGTTTCTCCTTTTGCTCCAGTGGGCTTTGTGTAGCCGGTTTGCCACATTCGTCTTCACGAATCTGGCTTTCAGCGATTATGCTCCCTCGCTATTGAGATTACAATCGTTTGCCTAATATCGCCATGACGATCATACTTCGTCTTGCACCAGGTCCCATGCCAGTATATCAGACACTACAAATTTCGAAGTCACGATAGGGAAAAGCGATGGCAATTTGCGCTGCATGCATATTTATCTTCCCTAAAAAAGCTTGGATGGTGTCTCATGGCCTGCTATGGTGGCTGGATATATGCATTGTTGTTTCCCTCTCAAGAATGAGACCAATATTTGAGGGCTTTTGAGGTCACGTGTGACAACCACACGGTATATATTAGGTCACTGAGGATTCATTCCAGGCAAGGTAAAGAGAAAACTATATCATTAGAATATGCCCCGCATGTATCTCATCAATGCCTCTCCTCAATTATATCCTATAAGACAATCCCACCAAGGTTCGAGTGTTCATAGTCCTATGCTTCAGTGCCTGTTAATGCAACTGGCATAGATATTAGGGTTGCATAGTCTGGAGAGACACATGTGGACATTGATATGGGATAAGTATTCAAGCCCAGGTAGTCTAATTGGTAGATCGCTAGCGAACCATACCTGTTCCTGACGCCCTCCAAGCCACCAATGCGGGTTTGAATCCCACGGAGCCCAAGTCGTTGTCGAGATAAACACGCTAGGAATCATATCGAGTGCTACCTGATGTTCAACGAAATTCAAGCTTAGTGGCAAGAAGCATACGTGAGTCATCCAGCAAGGCGCCAAGCAGTCAAAGTTATGCTACTAGGTTGGTGCTTTTGAAGTACGTAATGAGCCTTCGTGTCCACGGGTAAGAAATGACTTCAGATGAAGTCGGCCGAACGCGGGCATCCACAGGGGACCATGGGCTAGCGTTTGGTGGGTCATGTGTGTCACTATGTACCACTGAAGGGCTTCGGATCAGATAAAAACGCCACAGTACGGTAAAATAACCCAGACTAGCAGGCCAATCTAATCAGATGATCAGAAAAATTATCAGATTCGATACCATTCCGACCGTTTCCAGGGGAATACACCCGAGGAGCATCCGGCTACGCCTGAGCACGCGGCCGTACCCACTCAGCAACGTGGTAGGAGCTCGGCTTGTTTTCCCATAGGGAGAAATGTTCCAGGGAGATCACTCTGAGCCCGCTGCCTGACTGTTATTGCTTTGCTAATCGAAATACTGTGGGTCGAGGTTCTCAGCCATGTGTGAACAGGGCTGTTTGAGCCGAAAGGAAAGGAGGATTTCTCGGTGCTGTGCAAAAACGGCAAAGGCGCACCTGGAAAAAAAAGTTATCAGATCTTTTTGGTCCCTGGTTCCACGTTAAAGTGGATGGGCTTTAGTCCTACGTGGATCTATTCAAATGACGTCGAGCTTTGTAAATTGCCAAGGTAGGTATGGAACACAGCTATGTTATGTGTATGTATTGCCCAAGTCCCATAGAATTCATTTGAAGCACATGGAGACAGTATTTGTTTCTTACCTGGATACATAGATTACTTACATCCTTACTAGCGGTATATTTCTATAACTTACTTAAAGTACCATATTACATTACATACCATACCGCAGTCCTCCCGATAAACGGAAACAAACACGAAACGAGCTGCAGGTCGCTGAAAACTCGGCGTGGAACCTTGTGATTCTTGGCGTACAAAGTCCAGAGCGGTATAAACGTTCCGGGAAGTTTGTGCTTGGCATAATGATAAGCAAGCTAGCTGCCCAGGTATCCAGCCGCTCATATTATTAATATGTGTCACAGCTCATTGTCAAGTGGGCTCTACAGATTACAAGAATAGAAGCATTGGTTCAGATAGTTATAACATTCAGCATTCAGATCGTCATGTGAATATAATTAAATAATAAGATACAAAGAGCAAAGCCGGTCGATAACTGCCTTGGGGCAACTAGCCGTGTTTTGGATATAATAGGAAATGTATCATCAACAGTGTCGGTGTCGAAAAATATCTCCAAAGGCGAAGGCACCTCAGAAGACGGTGCCCTTGACCTGAGCAACCTTCTTCAGGTCGATGTCTCGGATCATGAGAGCCCAGAAGATGCACAGACCCATGAGACCGGTGCCAACAGCAAGCATTCGTGTCTGAGAATAGGCATAAGCTTCCTGAATAGCTAGTCTCGCAGCGGATCCGACCGGATAATCCAGTTGCTTAGCAAGATCCTCGTAAATCAGATCGATGTCTCCCATCGCAGACTCTGGAAGTCTCGTCGCAAGGGCTTTGTGGAATGTGTTGGTCCAGATTGCGGCGCAAATGGTAGAACCGGCAGCATTACCAACAGTACCCACGACGTTCAGCAGAGCAAGGACAGTTGCGACGTGCTGGTGGTCGGCGGCAGCCAAAATAGCAAGCTGCTCAACAATGATGAAAACAGATCCACCAATAGAGATGAAAATCTGGCACATGACAAGATAACCGACAGATTGGTTGGGACGGCGGAAGTGAATCATCAATCCCTGGGCAAAGATGTACAGCGGAACCGCAATGTAGAGAGTCCACTTGAAGCGACCAGTCCTGCGAATGATGAAACCGACTCCGAGCAAAAGGAAGCCGGAGACCACGTCGAAAGTGTTGCTAACGTAACCAGCCTCAGAGATGCTGAGGTCATTGACTACCTGCAAAAAGGATGTATAGTAGTTATTCCAGCAGTAGTAAGAGAGCTGGTATGTCGCGTCGAGCAAGCATGCACCAATGATAGTGCGATCGGTCAACAGACTGAAGTTGAACATTGGCGTGGGAGCAAAGCGGAACTCCCAAACAAGGAAGACGCCTAGCATAACAAATCCAAGCACGATCATAGCAATGATGTAGCCTGATGCCCAGCCGTTAGGAGCGTAAGTAGAAATGCTGAATGGAAGGAAGAAGACTGTAAGGCCGATAGAGAACACGAAAACACCAAACACTATGCAAGTTAGTATTTCGCAAGGGCAAACGCCTTAGAAATCTCTTCACTTACAATCGAACTCCTTGGTATAGAACCAAACACTTTGGAGGAAAGCCCGGCCGCTTGGCTCCCTGACTGCAAGACCGTTCTCCCTGGCCTTCTTCAGGTTGGCCTTCAAGATGAAGTAAAGAGGGGAGGCAACAATGGGGAAGATGATGGAAAATGCACCAAAGGCCCATCGCCAGCTAATGTCATTGTAGAAGCCCTCCGCAGCCTTGGGGCCAGCGAATGCTGTGATGATATATGGCGAGGAGGTGAAAGCGTAAGCCAAAGCTCGATTCTTGAGCTTGGAAATGTCGGCGGTGATGACATCGACGCAGTATGTCATACCTCCAAATCCAATGCTGTAGAAGACGTAGGCAGCGCAGAATGTGGGAAGGTTGTGGCACACAGCCATGAGAACCAGACCGAGCGTAGCAAAAACGGTCATGACCAAGAAACCTTCTGCACGGCCCCAAACGTCCATTACCTTGGCAGTGGGAATGTACACTGCGGCTGTCATGGCGTCTGCGACAATATAGATAACATTCAATAGGGAGTGGCTCTCAAAGTCACTGGTGACATAGCTGAGCAAACTGTAGTTAATCGAGGATTGCATAGCATTGACGAAGTACAAGAACCAGATGCTATTGAAGAATCATGTTAGTGAACAAACTGGTTTGCACGGGTCGATCGCCCGGAGTTAAAAAGACAAGAGCTTACTTTGCAAAAACCGCAATCAGCATGGTCCTCGTCCAGCTCAAAGTCACAGCCTCGACATCTTTGACACCCTGCTGCACGTCTTCAGTGGGAACTTCAGGGTTTTCCGCGTTGGCTACAGCAACGGTCTCGGTGGGCATTTCGCTCTTTTTTTCGCCATCAGTGCCCACAGCGACTTGAGTAACAGACTCCTGGGTCGATGACCGCCGGAAGGCAGATCGGAACCTGGAAACACCCATGTTGTTGATATGGAGATGTGGAAATATAAAAAATAGGTTGGAGGAACTCAAAAACCATAGAGCCCAAGGGAAGTCCTTGCCCTTATAGCAAATATAATCTCTGGTTATTAGTACTCCAGATCCAGCGCTTAATAAAAAATACCGAACTCGGCAGATTGGTACAATCTTGGAAGACTAATGCACGCCACACCCTGAGAAATGAACCAGTAGGAAAAGTCTTGGCGATGTCTTCGCGTTCATTCGCTGGGAAATCAAGTAACCGATAATTTTCTCTCCTCCAGTAGGGGTTCTTTGCGCAGGCCATGTGTGGTCACCCCACTCAAAGCGCCGGCCAGAATGGGACATTCTGGAGGCAGAATCTAATCAGATTGCATGGTTGACGGTTTTGCTACCGGAGAGACGCGGCGAAGGCAATGTTAACCGGGAACGGAACCGCTTCAAGCTCCAAGCAGCTCGTGGAGGCTTCCTGTAGAGGGAATTAATACGTGAGACGAGCTTGGCATAGCTTGGCACCCATAATG